TACCACGGATATATTTATATTGATTTATTTCAGTGTCACTGGTTTTCTGGAGGAACCTCCTTAGTGGCTTCTTAAAGTTATCTCACTGAGATTGCTTTTATCTACTAGGTCACATCAGTCATGGAAGTTCTGTTTGGCCTAGCAAGGATCCAAACCTGATCCCCTCTCATAGAGGTGCAGCGAGCAGATGACATTTTGCCACCCTACTGGGAAAACATCCAGGAAGTCAGCAAATGAACTGAAGCCTTAAAACCTGCCAAACAACTCTCCGAACAATTGTAACAAAATTATTAAATCACACAAAACTAGCTCAAACTCTTTGTACCAACAAACTGGCACCAGAGAGCCCGATACACCGGCCCTCTGCCAACTCTCCCAAGTCAGTTTTGTCAGTGTGATGTGACACTTATGTGACCTCAACACTTCTATAGTGCTTCTAGTGTCACATTGGTAGTGGCAGGTCCCCCATGCTTCTAAGTTAAGTTCCAGCCATCCTTGGACTTTATCCTGCTGGGGCCATTTGCTTGTGTGTTCGTTTCAAGTTTAGTACAATTTTTGCTTAACAAGCTCGTTTCTGGGGAGCCCCTTGTGTCTCCCAAAAGATACTATCTCTAATAGTGCGCCATACTACTAGGTCCCATGAATCACAGAGTTCTGTTGCTTACCAGGGACCAAGAGCCATAACCTGGCCCCCTCGTAGAGGCACAGAGAGCAGTGGCATTTATATATTAAAATATTCCTTTATACCACCGCCTCGGAAGACATCCAAAAAGTCGGTGAAACAAAACAAACCACTGCTGGCTATAAACGAGACTGCAGCCTCCAGAAATGGCTATAGAACTTCCCCAACAATGTAAATGAATGATCAAAATTTTGCGAACTAGCACCAAATCGTTTGCCCCACCTCCCTCCCCCTCGTTTGGCGACACGAGGGAGGCACCCAGGCCAGTTCAGTCAGCTGCCCAACCCTCAGTTCTACTCTGATGTATGTCAGGTCACCCTCTCTGTTGCTCTGGCCCCATTGTGTTTTCTTGTGGTGTTTTGCCTTACCTGGTTGATACCTGGTTGATGGGGTTCTGGGAGTTCTACTCCCCAAGCCCGGCCTGAGGCCAGGCTTGACTTGTGAGAGTTTGGTCCACCAGGCTGTTGCTTGAAGCGGCCCGCCGGGCCACATACCCACCACAGCCCGGCTGATCCGGAACTTCTCTTAGAAAACCGTCCAGTTTTCTCTTGAAGATGTCCACGGTTGTTCCGGCAATATTTCTTATAGTCGCTGGGAGGACGTTGAACAACCGTGGCTGTGCCGTGGCTTAGTGGCTGTTCCTTACACGTTTGTGTAGTGTGGGCCAGGAGTTAAGAGCCCTTGGAGCTGCATATGCTCAGGATTATGTTCACTGTGTGCTCACTAGTGCTGCCCTTGCACTACAAATTTTGAAAGAGAAAGTGACAACATGTCCATGCACTCAGCCCCAAGTCCAGACTCATTGAATTTGATATTTATAAAGAAATGCAAAGTGTCAGTAGCACAAACAGTGTAGTATGGAGAAAAGCTTGGATGCTGAAGTGATACTAGAAGCATTTAAATCAATAAACATAGCTCCTCTACACAAGGGAGGGAACAAAGCATTGGATAAGAATTATAGACCAGTCACAGTAACGTCCTCAAATAACGTACCAAATAAAATCAAGTCTAAGAACAGTTAAAATCTCTGTACCTCAGGGCACAGGCCTTGCACCACTGCTATTCTTTATTCTTGGATCAGATATAGACAAAATACAAGTCATAACTTCGGGTCACTTTTTGCAAATGACAAAAATGTGGATGATAATTCCTTCTGTACAAGACATTGAAAACCTACGAGCTGATATTAATAAAGTTTTACATTGGGCAGCAGAAAATAATGTGGTGTGTAACTGATAAATTCCAGGTACAGTACTTAGGTATGGTAGAAGTGAAGACGTTAAACAAAATACAGGGCAAAAAAAAATCAAATCTTCTCATAGTAGGAAAGCAACATGTAAATGATCTGGAAATAATGATGTTTGACAACTTAGCATTTAGGGAGCATAACCCAGCAAATATAGCCTTAGCTAGAAAAATTATAGAATAGATTATGCGAATCTTCAAATCCAGGGATCCCACCACAATGCTTATACTATTCAAATCACTGGTGCCGTCCCGCCTTCAGTACTGCTTGATACTCATTACTTACACACACACAAAAAAAAAAAAAAATAGAAAGAAGGTACTGGAACACTAAGCTTGTGAGTCAACTCTAATGTGCACAATTATGTACTGTACTATACTGTATATCCTGATAGCACATGTCACCTTGTGCAAAATAACATCACATCCCATAATTATGTAGACAAAATGTATGAATATGATTGTGAAGCATGAATATGGTGGGGTAAAGGATGCTGGTCGGCCGAGCGGACAGCACGCGGGACTTGTGATTCTGTGGTCCCGGGTTCGATCCCGGGCACCGGCGAGAAACAATGGGCAGAGTTTCTTTCACCCTATGCCCATGTTACCTAGCAGTAAATAGGTACCTGGGTGTTAGTCAGCTGTCTCGGGCTGCTTCCTGGGGGTGGAGGCCTGGTCGAGGACCAGGCCGCGGGGACACTAAAGCCCCGAAATCATCTCAAGATAACCTCAAGAAGGATATTCTTGGCATTTTCTGAGGTAGCAGATAGGGTGCTATTTATATCTGTTGGTGACAGATGGCTGCACACACTGTTAGTGACAGATGGCTGCACACACTGTTGGTGACAGATGGCTGCACACACTGTTGGTGACAGATGGCTGCACACACTGTTGGTGACAGATGGCTGCACACACTGTTGGTGACAGATGGCTGCACACACTGTTGGTGACAGATGGCTGCACACACTGTTGGTGACAGATGGCTGCACACACTGTTGGTGACAGATGGCTGCACACACTGTTGGTGACAGATGGCTGCACACACTGTTGGTGACAGATGGCTGCACACACTGTTGGTGACAGATGGCTGCACACACACTGTTGGTGACAGATGGCTGCGCACACACTGTTGGTGACAGATGGTTGCACACACACTGGGCTCAAACTCCAGTCTTGATGGCCACATGTTTGACTGATCAATACAGGATGTAAAAACGTCTTTTCGGCATTTGAAAATTTGTATATTTGCACATTGAGCTACTATCTTCGTTATTTGAATGGCTGCAACTAACGAAGTGAAAGGCCGGAAACTTATTTATTTTCCCTTAAGAGGGCGGCTGGTTATTATAGTGAAAGTTGTTCAATGTCAACCAATATTAATTTTCTAGTTGTATATGAAAAGTGCTTAAATTGTCCCAAGTTTCAGTACTGCAGCGTAAATAGAAAGGGAGTTTTTTTTTTTTTCCAACGTTTTTTACGTATTTTCAAGTCCACACTTCAGAACACACGTTTCAGATATAATTATTCTGTGACACTTTTCTGACACATTAGCATATAATAAAGGATTTGGGGATTTAGAATTTCCAAAACATCTTTAGTTTTCCTAATACAAATGTTCAAAGTTCCCCAAATTTTTTTTGCAAATATGGCATGTTTATTGCTATTATAAAATCAATAAATGAACTTAGAGAAAAATGAAAGCCCCCCCAATGTGGAGACATGCCCTCCACATATACTGTGTAAGTTTCATGTAAATTGAATAAAAAAGGAATCAGTTTTGTAAACGTTTGTGTCAATTGAAAAAAAAACAGAAATGAATAAAGTCTAAGGTTCTAAAATCTGTGGCTGAGGTTGACATCAACCAATTTTCTCCAAAATTGGCATCCTTACAGATAGGCTTACGTACAGTCAGGTGTGTAAGTTTGATGCAAATCGCAAAAAAAAAAAAAAAAAATGAAAAAAAAAATATTTAAAAAAAAGAAGAAAAATCCTTTTTGTTTTTTTTTTCTTAAAATTTTTTTCCAATTAAACTAATAATAATATTTGTTTAATATATGCTATTGTGATAGCAAAGAGTCGTAGTTAGGATTTCAGTTGACACTTTTGATTGATAATCGATTTTGACCATTTTTGCATAATTTTCACAACTACTTCAATATTTTTTTCTCCCTTCCTATTTATGCTACGATGCTGAAACTTGGACCAGATGAAACACTTTTCATATAGAACTTGTCAAAAAAGTTTGATTGAAATCGAACGAGTTTTCATTTTTGCATTTTTGGACCCAGATGCCAACCAGACATCTTAAGTACTTAAGTACTTAAGTACTTCTGTCAATTTTACAATCTTTGAAAATGGTTGCAGATTGAAGGATAACAAACTGAACATGTTGAATATTTTTTAATTTTGGTAAATAAAATTACAAGGGTTTTCTTTTTTGCATCTTGCATGACATCCTATTTGGTTGTGTTGCATTATGTAGGTGTTTGTAATGACATCTTTAAAGGCATAATCATAGAGAAACAACAGGCATTAGAAAATTTAAAGTCAAATATTATGCTAGTTTCCTGCCCAGTAATACTTCATCCTTGGGCTTGTCTTAAGGTTTTGTACTCACTAATACTCAATAAATACTAAAGATCTGTCAGTCTGTTATGAAGAGTTATCCTGTCACTTATTGGTGGTGGTATTAAGAGGCCGGTGGGTTATGTTGGCAGTAAAGAGGCCGGTGGGTTATGTTGGCAGTAAAGAGGCCGGTGGGTTATGTTGGCAGTAAAGAGGCCGGTGGGTTATGTTGGCAGTAAAGAGGCCGGTGGGTTATGTTGGCAGTAAAGAGGCCGGTGGGTTATGTTGGGAGTAAAGAGGCCGGTGGGTTATGTTGGCAGTAAAGAGGCCGGTGGGTTATGTTGGCAGTAAAGAGGCCGGTGGGTTATGTTGGCAGTAAAGAGGTCGGTGGGTTATGTTGGCAGTAAAGAGGCCGGTGGGTTATGTTGGCAGTAAAGAGGTTGGTGGGTTATGTTGCCAGTACAAAAAATAATAATCTCTTGTGTCTAATGATGTTTAAATTTTGTAGGTGGTGAAGCAAAATGTAATTGAAAATATTGTGCCAATCCTGATTGCTGTCAAGCATAAGCTGGAGGAACATCACTCACCATTGATGAAACATCTCTTGCTCTACCTGAAAGAGATTATGAGGGATTACAAGAATGAGGTAAGCATAATAAAATTTCTTCAAGGATGGATATATGTATGTACTCACTTATTTGTGCTTGCAGGGGTACCATTGTGCTACCATTGATCTACTGGTGTACATGTTCCTGAGCCTACACGGCTCTGTCATATGTACATTTGGAACTGTGTATGGAGTCAGCCTCCACCACACCACTTCCCAGTGCATTCCATTTGTTAGTTACCGACACTGAAAAACTTCTTTCTAATGTCTGTGGCTCATTTGGGTACTCATTTTCCACCTGTGTTCCCTTGTGCAAGTACCATCTGTGCTAGATAATTGGTCCTTATCTACCCCTGTCAATTCCCCTGAAAATTTTGTATTTAGTTATTATGTCTCCCTGAACTCTTCTGTCTTCCAGTGATGTTGAGGTACAATTCACGTAGTCTTTCCTCGTAATTCATACCTCTTAGTTCTGGGGCTGGTCCCAGAAGAGGTAAGTCACCTTTGAAAGTTCAACAGTGGCATACCTTTGAACCTTCTCCAGCTTTGTCTTATGCTGGAGAAGGTATGGACTCCATGCTGGATCAGCATTCTCCAGGATTGGTCTTACAAATGTGGTATACAATGTTCTAAAGGATTTCTTACACAGGTTTCTAAAGACAGGTCTGATGTTGCCAAAACTCTCATACACTGCAGATGATATTCATTTGATGTGGGCTTCAGGAGACAGGTTGAGTGTGATATCAATTCCTAGATCTTTCTGTCCATTTCGTAGAGGACTTCGTCTTCCATTCATTCGGTACCCTGTGTCTGGTCTCCAGTTCCCTCCACCTACTTTCATTACCTTACATTTCCTTGGGTTTAACTTTAATAGCCATTTGTTGAACCATTCCTTCAGTTGGTCTAGGTCATCTTGTAGCCTCTTGTTATCTTTCTTGGTCCTAATCCTCCTCATAATTTTTGCATCATCAACAAACATTGAGAGGAACGAGTCTAATCCCTCTGGGAGATCATTTACATATATACTGGAAGTATCAAAAACAGGATAGGTCCAAGGACTGAACCCTGTGGGACTCCAATGGTGACGTCTCGCCACGCTTAGACCTCGCCCCTCACTGTAACTCGCTGTCATCTTTTGCTTAGGTGCCTCCTTACCCATTGGAGTACCTTCCCTATTACTCCTGCCTGTATCTACAGCTTACGCACTAGCTTCCTAAGGGGTACCATGTCAAAGGCTTCCTGGCAATCCAAACATATGTATTCTGCCCACCCTTCCCGCTATTGCCTGGTCATTGAATTAAATTAATCCTGTGAGGTAAGATTTGCCATCCCTGAACCTATGTTGGTGATGTGTCACAAAGTTCTTTCGCTTCAGATGTTCTAGTTTTTTCACAAAATCTTCTCCATCACCTTGCATAGTATGCAAGTTAGGAACACCTGTAGTTCAGTGCCCCTTGTCTGTCATCTTTGTGTATTGGGACTACATTAGCCATCTTCCAATTTTTTGGTAGTTTTCCTGTTTTCTGTTAGCGATTTGTTATACACCATTGAGTGGTAGGCACGTACTTCTGCTCCCTCTTTTAGCATGCATGGTGAGATTGTTCGGTCCTATAGTCTTTGCCACATCAAACTTGTGCAAATGCTTCTGTAACTCCCCACTGGTAATCTCAATCTCCCACAGTTGTGCCTGGTTAGATATTTACACACTTATCTCAGGAACTTCACCTTGCTCTAATGTGAAATCCTGGAATTTTGTATCGAGTTCCTCACACACTTCCTTGTCATTTGTAGTGAATCTGTCTGCCCCTATCTTTAGCCTCATTACCTGTTCCTTCACTAGTGTTTCCTCTTGATGTGGCTGTGCAGCAATTTAGGTTGAGTCTTTGCCTTATTTGTCATGTCATTTTCATATTGTCTTATCTGCTTCTCTTCTCACCCTGAGGTATTCATTCCTGGTGCTCTAGTATTTTTCTCTGCTATCTGGTGTCCTGTTAATTCTGTAGTTTCTCCATGCCCCTGTACTTAGTTGCTCTGCCAGCTTACATCCCTGATTAAACCATGGCTTCTTCATTTGCATTTAGGCGATGAGTCACAATAACGTGGCTGAAGTAGTTTGACCAGACCACACTAGAAGGTGAAGGGACGACGACGTTTCGGTCCGTCCTGGACCATTCTCAAGTCTATTGACCATGGTCAAACATTTGCATTTAGTTTTTCCTTTTGAACCAGGACAAACTTGTCTGCTACCTCTGTAGCAGACAAGTGTAGTGATGTAGTCCATCGTGCTTTGGGCCGTTTTTCCTCTGAGCTCTGTTTCCTGTTATATCTGTTAGGAATTTTCTTACCTCTTTACCTTGAGGTTACAATACCTTAAGATGTTTTGGGGGCTTAGCATCCTCGCGGCCCGATCCTTGACCAGGCCTCCTTGTTGCTGGACTGGTCAACCAGGCTATTGGACATGGCTTCTCGCAGCCTGACGTACGAGTCACAGCCTGGTTGATCAGCTATCCTTTGGAAGTGCTTGTCAAGTTTCCTCATAGTTTCCCTTTGGGAATGCCAGCCTTTTTGTTTTCTTGTCCCTTCCATGAGTAAGTTAGCCCTACTTCTACCAGATATAGTATTAGAGGGTCATTCACAATCAAGAATTCTAGGTTTAAATCCTGAGCGGGACAGAAATGGTTGGACGCGTTTGTTATCACCAAATGCTCCTGTTCATCAAGCAGTAAATAGGTACTCAGGAGTTAGTCAACTTTTGTGGGGATACAAGCCTAACATGTATAAATACACTCTGGCTGCCTGTCCCCCCGACAATGAAATTATTATTATTATTATAATACTCAAACATCAGTACACTCTGATCACTCATTCCCACAGGGGCTTCGAAGTTGATTTCCCTTATGTTGGAATCATTCAAAGTAAATATCAAGTCAAATCTAGGTGGTTTGTCATTGCCTCTCATTCTTGTGGGTTCCCTGACATGCTGGCTTAAAGTTTCTTGTTGGCACATCCAATAGCTTAGCTCTTCATGTTTCTATCCCTCCATGCAGTTCTTTGTTTTCCCAGTCTTTCTGTGGTTGAAAGATAAGCAAATAAGATATGATCTTATCATATATGAATGATAAGATAAAAGCAGATAAGATATAAGATAGAATAAAGATAAGCAGATAAGGTATAAAAGGACCTCCCATGATAAGCAGACGGTTAAATATATTTAATAGTATTAAATGCTATGTTACTTGTCATACTCTTGCCTGGGTATTCTGTCGTTTGGTGGAGGGTTATATATATCACTACTATACAACTCTTGGCCCTCCCGTTGTCATGGTGCCTGTTAAGTAGTCAGTGAACCCCTCCCAGTCAGGGGTAGCCATCGCCTCAAAACTCGCTCCTTTCTCATCGGTAGACCACTCCCCTTCCTCCCCTTTTTATCCTAGTAATAAACGATCAAAGAAATATCCAAAGTTACACTGCCGTTGTATCTTGTACACGACAGTGTGCGTAGACCTTATCTGGTGTCGATAGATGCCTCCTCACACCACCACCATGCAACATTTCACAGCTCGTCCACCAGTAAGAATGTACATACTTATATTTGTTATGTTTTTCTTACATTTTTGCATACAAATGAACAGTTCTGCAAGAAAAAATATTTTAAATTTAAATTTTGTTTTTTCAATATAGACAGGAATGGCCAAATATCAGTAGCTGCACATTCAGGATTAATAGTGTGACTTCCTTTCTAACATGACCAATGTTAGAAATGTTAGCTCTGATGGACAGAGTTTGTGCTTGTTACAACTACCTGTAACACATGCAAGCTTGCACAAATTACACTAGCTTGTATATGCTGTATTATAGCAACTAGCACTAAATATATGAGTATGTATACTTCATACTTGCCTGTTCATTACAGCAGCTTGTACTGGATATATGTCCCTAACTCATTATAGTGTGTACTTGGTACAGCAGTTTAATGATTGCAACCTGTGTAATTACTGTACCAGCCTGCCATAACCCTTGATATTCTAGCCTAAGAATACTTCTCTTGGTTGACCTCGTGCTATTAAGCCATACCTAGTTACATGAAATATCTTTTGAGATGAGTAATATAAATTGTATCTAGACATTCATATTTTATTAATTGTGGTGTTTCAATTTCCCAGGTAAAAGAAATTCTAGCAGGAGACAAACAGTTGGCAAAGGAAATAGAATTTGATTTACGGCGGTTTGATCAAGAACGAGACGATGATAAAAATGAGGAAAATGTAGCAGGTAGCGGTGACGAGGGCGAGCACAATCGAGTGCAAACTGATAACCAACACGGAGGAAGTGCTGGAAGTGGTGATAAAGGATCATTGGGTACCTCCCCATCACTTGCCTCAAAGCTAATAATTGTAGAAAAGGACAAAACAATCTCTACTCCAAAGTTAACCTGTAAAATTACATGTGGTAATGAACTTAGAAAACAGGTCTTACTTAAGAGTAAAGCTTTAGCTACTAGGAGGAGAAGTATTGCTGTTCCTACAGATCATTTTCCTGACAAAAGTTCACATGAATTATCAAGTATACTAAGACAAAGAAGAGCAAGTGTCAGTGATTTCAGAGAAATGGGGAGCAAAAATGTTACACTCAAAACCCCAGAAAAAGCTATTACTCAGGTGGAGCAAATCTCGGTTGAAAGTGAGTCGGTGTGTGAGGAAGAGAGCAAGACAAAACATACTCCACCACCAGCAAAGATCAGGGAAGATTTATTGAGAGCTATTAGTACCCCACAATCTCAGGTAGGTGTTATTAGCAATATCACATTTGTTAATGAAACACAAGAAGTTAGTTCCATTACTCTAGATTCAACTGTCTTAAATGTTGATAGAGAGGAAACCAGACAGCCAAAATTGCTGCTTCATCTTCAAAGTCCTGAAGCTTTTGCACAGGAATCAGAGTTTAGTCGCATACGGAAAAGCACTAGAAGAGATCTTAATTCAGAACTTAAGAAGATTGATAAAACTAAGATAAAAGAAGTAAGTAAATCGGGAGAGCTCTTCGAATCTTGTTCAGGCGAGTCCACACAGAGTGAAGACGAGCCCGTTAATCCAACCAAGAAGTCTGAATTAATTAGAAAAAAAAAACAGAAATCAGAAAGTCGTGGCAAAGTGAAACGTACGAGAGAAATGGCGTCCCTGAGCCCTGATTCTAAAAAAGGTCAAGCTAACAGAGAAACAGTAAAGCCGGGCCAAAAAAGAAGTAAAACGAGGAATCAGTAATGAAAAATTTATTTTTACAAATTTGTATGAATGTTGATAAAGTGAAGAAAAGGATGTGTGTGTGTATACAGTAGTTCAAAATGTAACCAATATATATTTAGGTTATCAGCTGGAGATGTTGAATAAATCCAACTTAGTTATGTGTGCATAATGACCTGTTTGTAGTTATGAGAAAGAGGTAAAGGGTTGCTTTAAGATAACACATCACCATAACACTGAGCAAAACAACTAACTAAGAAGCCATAATGTTCCAAAACAAGCAACAACTATGAATTTGTTTACCCTGACTAAACAATGTAAATAAGGCTCAGGTGAGGAAATCGCTGCCTCGATACTCTCGTCTGTCATCAGACCAGGAGTCTCTGCCATCCTGCAAGCTCATTTATGAGCCTAGTACACATCCAGAGAACTTTGGCCCCGACTCCTTTAGACCCCGAGTGGTTTTGGCCATCCTCGGGATAACAAGTTGTGTGCAGAGCCATTGTTTCATTGTGTTCCATATTGAGCTTAACATGTGTTGTGGCCAGGATTATCTTCCCTGGTAACCAGGCCATTGTTTCCCCCGCCCTCCAGGGTTATCATTCCTGTGTTGCCTCCTCTCCAGGTATCTGCCAGGTAATGCAGGAGCTTGGCTACAGCTATAAGGCCAGTGCTAATAGGGAGATAGGGGGGTTCTAATTTCTAGCAATTTGCAAGTGCCTTTACATCCTGCTCTCTTGAACCTGTCTTGCTGATGCCTTGGTGGAGGATGTGCATGGATAGAGTAAGTGACTTCTCACCTAACAGCAAACCTAACCCAATTGAAGTCCATTGAAGTTATTGGTTAATTCCTTGTAAAATCATTTTGAGGAAAGAGGCTTTAATATGTGGTTCCTTGGTATTTGCTACTTGGCAAGCTTCACCCAATTCATTCCGTGCCAGGCCATTGTGAGTCATATAAGCCTACTGGTGATCAGAGGCCAAAATGTGGCCCCCTCTAATGAGGTGCAAGGAGTAGGGGATTGTACATCTCTCTCATCAAGAAAAGGCTGACTGGAAGGTGGGTGAACCAAAACATACAAACAGTAAACTATACAAAGCATAGAAAATAGGACAGGGAAGCCTCAAACCACGCAGTCTAGAAGCAGCTCTCTCCAACTACACACGCACACCACCTGGCAACAGGGCACGTTTTCCCTCGATCCACCATCTTGACACCTCGGTCACATGCCTGGCACTTGTGTCTACCACATTTGCTGTTACACTCCTCTTCCCATCCCAGTGCTCTTCAGGTCCCACCTTTTTCAGACAAGAATTGACCATCCTGGACTTTTTGTCCTGCGGGGCAATTTGCTTGTGTATTTATGCCCCTATTGTAGTGTTTGCTTCATAATGCATGTGTATTTATGCCTCTATTTTAGTGTTTGCTTCACAATGCATGTGTATTTATGCCTCTATTGTAGTGTTTGCTTTACAATGCATGTGTATTTATGTCTATTGTAGTGTTTGCTTCACAATGCATGTGTATTTATGCCTCTATTGTAGTGTTTGCTTCACAATGCATGTGTATTTATGCCTCTATTTTAGTGTTTGCTTCACAATGCATGTGTATTTATGCCTCTATTTTAGTGTTTGCTTCACAATGCATGTGTATTTATGCCTCTATTGTAGTGTTTGCTTCACAATGCATGTGTATTTATGCCTCTTCTTGCATGTATTCACTGTTCAACTCAAACTGCACTTGCGTAGTGATATTCTCCAAGGTGGCTGTCTCTGAGACGCCAGGTTCCTGTTGGAAGGTGCCTGTTGTAGCAGTGTACGGCTCTTTGACTCCTCTGCAAGGTATTGTGGATGGGGGACAGTCTGTGTTAAGGGTCTCACGGGTTGTTAGCATGCTCATTATATGACACTCCACTCCAACCCTAACACCTGCATTTGCCCTAGTCTGTTTTTTGGTGTTTGTAATATTCAGCTAGCAGCACCTGTGCCCTGTGTTCGTGCTCGATCTATCCTTTGGGACTCTGAAAGCTCTTTGTAGCCTTTTAGAGGGTTCAGTGTTGACCACCCTTCTGATTCTACCCTCACTGGGTGAGAGTTTGAAGGATGTGCCCTGATTTGTTGTAATCCTATGGCTATTCTTGCTGCCTCCATCACACCACGTGTTGGGTGAGAGAGATGTTCTACCCTAAGGCTTGCGATGTTTGTGATAGTTGGGTCGTCATTTTAGCCACACCTCCTTATAGGGGGACATTGGTTATCAGGTGGTTGTAACTTTATGGACCAGGTTTGTCTGTATACATAAGTTATAACTTAATGCTGATGTGGTTGCCCCCAGGGTTGGCTCTTTTGACTTTCCAAGATTCACTTGCTCCAATATTGCTGCTCTATCTTCTTCCTCAGGTCTAGCTGGTATTGATTGGCAGGCATGTGGGCTTTTCCCTTTGCTCACAGCTTCCAAATGTCTTGAGGGTCTTGAAATTTAGGGGGTGATGATACTCTAGTGAAGGTAGCTGAGCTACTGCTTTCCACCGAGGATCCGCTCCCATCTGTTTCTTGTGGGTTGGTTTACAGCCGTGGATCCTTCCCTGTGGGGATATGATTTTATGTCTTCTACATCTGGTGTGCATTGTGCCCCTGTTCCTGTGGTGTCTGGGGCTGGGAAGGACCCCAAGTTTGGTAGCTGCATGCTTTTTCACCTTTATAATTGGTTCCTTCTGAGAAGGGGTATAGTATAGTATTTGAAAAATGCAGACGGTTTTGTTGACCCCCCCCCCCCCCCTGTACATTTCTGGGTTCAAGTAGAGTTCCTGTTACCATCATACTTGCTGAGTTTTCCAAATTCCCATCTTTCACCCTTGATGTCACTTGGATCTTTCTCTGTTCCCCTTTCAGGATGAGAACCTCACAACTTTGTGGACCTTCTTCTTTTGAATCTGGGTTAACCACGTCTTATTGGTTGTGGTGCGAGGTTTCTGATTCATCTTGTTGTGGGCAACCCTCTCCACCACCACCTTTGGGGCCCCGGGCAGTGCTTTTGCCATACCCGAACACTTGAGTGGTGTGTGAGGCGTGATTGATCTGTGTGGCTCCCTGTAGCTAGCTGCTATGAGATAGCTCCACACCTGTTATTCACATCAGCTTTTATGAGTCCTAAAAAGCCAACCAGAGGCCAAAACCTGGCACTCCCCTTCCCCACAGAGGTGCATGGAGCAGAGGATTCATGATCCAACCTGTCCTCTTGAATAATATATCTCATTTTAATGTCAAAATCCCCATCATTAAAAATGTGATGTACTATAAATCAAATCGACTCACAATCACGCTTTCTATGTATGGGTTTGGTTAGGTTCAGGCAATTTAGTACATCATTTTTGTGACCTGACAACTTTATAGGATGGGCTATATTATCACCCTCACTGAAGAAACAAACCCTCAGTAAAGAAGCACAGCAAAAATTACAACTGCAAGGTTCACGGAAAACAATGAAACAAGTTCACCCAGTGGTTAGGTCATACACTCCTAGTAACAGCTGGCCCACTACTAGGTGCCATCTCCCCATGTCAACACTCCTCAGTCCTTTGCCTGATGTGAGATTTGTCTGACCGTTCCGTGAGTCACCAGCTCTTCAGGACCCATATTTTCTAGATAGGAGTTAGCCATCCTTCGAACTCATTTATGGGGGCCCATTTGCTTGTGTAGATGACTGAGGTGTTGAGGTTGGTCGATCAAAGAGGAAGATGGGCAGGTGGGAACTAATGAGAGAACTGCTTGACGTCTGGCTGGTCCGCGAGTCTCGGGGCTTTGCTATCCATTTTCTATACTTTGTATACCTTTCTGTTTGTATATTTTGCATCACTCACCTTTCTGGTGGCTTTTTCATGGTTTGGGTGATCTATGATACCCTGCTCCTTGCGCCTCTTTGGAGGAGGAGCAAGTTTTGGCCTCTGGTCCTCAGTAGGCTTATATGACTCGCAAGGGCCTAGCTTGGATTGAGTTGGGTGGAGCTTGGTAGCTAACATGTACTAAGGACCCACCAGAAAGTCATTTCATTACATTTGATGCTGGTTTTGCAGTTTTAAATTGAGGATGGTGCACAAGAGCCCCCTTGCCCGGTCACGGCACGACACCTGTGAGGAGGAGCAATAACAAAAGTGAAGGAAGTTTCTCATTTCCTCACCCATCAAATAATGGGTTATTGAACAACTATTCTCCTAATATTTTTGATGAGTGACATATTGATGGAAAACACTTGTTTTTTGTTACCACCTGCCGTGGTTGCTGCAAGGTCACACAACTCATGTTACAACGCCTGCCACTTTTGTAGGATGCCAAAAATAATAGTTTAGTGATGGCTAATGTTTAGGGTCTATACAAACAACAAATGATGCATTGTGTAGTCCTATTTCCCCATGTTGGTGTCATTTTCAGTCTGATAACTATTAGGTTTTCATCTTTAAGTACCAAATTTATTAATGAGTGTAATGAATTATTTAGAAACAAATTTAATTGAAATAATATTCAATATTATGTACATTTAGCTATTATAGTGTAGATTTTTTATTTTGAATAAATTTTTTGCCTTAAACTTTGTTTTAAACCCTTAGGATATTAAGTAATGTCTTTATTAGCTAATTGGCAAATATAGATAATATAAGGTGGCAAATATAGACTAACTCAAAACAAATGTTTTGCATGTGTGACATATAGCAGCCTAATATGTGAGTTGGTGTTGCCTTATGACAAGGGCTACAAAATGGAATATGCACTAACTTGATTTGTCTAAAACTGGACCCCCACCACCTCCCCAGAACGCCAAACATGTCTTTGTGGTAACCCATACTGCTTCTCCTCTACTTCGTACCCCTAAAACAGGAAAAAGACATGTTTCATACATCTACTCCATTGCTTTAACTGTTAATGTGCAAGCACTTCAGAGGTGATAATATTGTATTAGATTTATATAGCACCTAGAACAAGATGTGTTTCTTTTGAAATATCATGCATTCAATAACAGACATCCTCCATCTCAGAGGAATTGGTCTTTAACCACTGCACTGCGCCAAATGCCGTTCGCCCATTACTGTGCCAACCGACAAAAGTATTTTTTATTTTTTCGTACAAGGTCGAAACGCGCTCCTAGTAGGTTGGGTATGAAATGGGCTCTTAGGACCTCCAGTGAGAGGCAGCCATCTTGGAAAAAATTCCCAGAATGTTCTAGGGCTGCTGGCTGGATTAGTGCTGAGCAACCATGGGTGACGCATGCGCCTCTGGCTCCCAAACACCTGTTTGACATGGTGTTGAAAGATTGCTCTCTGTCGGTGAAATTCAGACTTTATTGCTTGAAGAGCATAAGGGTCATGATATTGATGAAGCTAGGCACAATAAGGACCTAACACAAAGGTCTTATGCAAGTGATACAGCACCTATTAGGACGATACAGCGAGCGTATACAGTTGTAGCTCTGAGCACCACTCCATGCCCACCTATGCCATCTCCAATTTATATAGATGATATATAGATGAATCATTTTCTGGGTTCAGTGATGATGCATCTGATACAAGTAGCATAGATGAACAGTGTTAGCGACTTCCATGGTGGTATTTTCCATAGATATTTTCAAGAATAGCTGAATCTCTTCCAGAATGGCTGAATCTCTTCCAGATTGACTGACACTCTTCGAGGTTGGCTGAATTTCTTCCAGTCAGGGACCTTACAAATTGATCTTTTCCTATAATCTTTTCAAGTCTACCTTACGCTTTACAAGCTTGGTTACATACCACCTACAGGTACTAAAGCCAAGGGTGTACGTGAGTGCATTATTTGTAAGCACACAGAACGAAGAAACAGGAAGCGAAAATATCTCTGTACTGTACCTGGTGCAACGAGAGCGAAGTCACGCTGTGTACCATGGACTACTTCGTTAATTATTACTCACTTCCGAAGTACTGAGTGTGTAATACAGTGTGTTACTGTGTAAATAGTGTGTGAAACTGTACATACTGTAATTTTAGTGAATTTTTAACAAGCCATATTGCGACAAACATTTATTGTGGACACACTACTGATACATGTATCACAGTTCCATGGAACATTATGAACGTTCTACTGTATACATATTGTAAAGGACACAAATATGTATCATATACGATAAAAAAAATAAAAACTGCATTGGAAATACATAGAACAAATAATTGAAAATATATTTGTGACAACTCACGATACTTGAATAGCCCACGCGACCGCCTCTGGGAGCTTCACACACGGGCGGCCAGTCCATGATGACATCACTGTCCAAGTCCCCACAGCCAAAGTAAGTGGAATTTGGTATTTATTTTTACATAAACATGTTCAGGGAAGGGAATTTATCATTTTACAAACAAAAAAGAATATTTAGGAAACACTTGGTTTCATGTGCACAGGGTAAATGTCACAATAAACTCGGCGCATCACAGTGGTTAATGAAAAGTCTTGGGTCCCCGATGTTTACAGAGTTCTCCCTCAGCGTACCTATTGCACCTCTGCTTTTCAATGGAGGTATTTTGTTCATATTGCCATGCCTACTGGTCTCGTGTGATGTTATTTCTGTGTTCAGATTTGGATCCAGTGCCTCTAATATCTTCCACATGTAGATTATTATGTATCTCTCTTGCCTCCACTCTAGGGAATACAGATTTAGAACTTTTAATCAGTCTCAATGATTAAGATGACTTATAGAGTGGATTCTAGCGGTAAAGAATCTTTGCACGCTCTCCAGATCAGCAGTTTCTCCGACTTTGAATGTGGCTGTTAGAGTACAACAATATTCCACCCTAGAGAGCACTAGTGTCTTAAAAAGTATCATCGTTGGTATGGCATCTTTGTTTGGAAGGTCGTTGTTATCCAACCTGTCGTTTTTCTTGCTGTTGTGACAGCTACTTAACCCTTAAGCTGCTAAGGGGTCCTGAGGACATTTACACCCCAGTGAACGCTCAAGGGTGCTGCGTCAGGGAGCCGTCACTCACGGCGGCTCAGGAGGCCCGAGTGGCCGCGAATTTATTTTCGCGGCATTATTTACAATAATTTGTTTTGCTAGTATTGTTCCAATTTTTGTCACTAAACGTTGTATTATAATAAAACTGGTATAAACTCACTACACGCTCATATATTATAGTCACAAGTATGCCCACCAAACTGGTGTAGTTTACAGGAAATATACAATGTATTTGTTTTTGTTTTCAATATAAACATTAAAATTAACTTGATATGTACATTTATTTACAAAAATATTACACATTTAGTAGTCCTGGAGACAGTGATACTGTGCAAAACGGTCGATATGGCACAGAGGAACGGCACACGCTTCGCACCATGTTAACACCAACTTACGTTTCTGTGGCCTCATTTCTGTGCTGTAACACACAACACACCGACGCTGGCCTGCTGCACGCACTCCAGTTGGTGGTAATTTCTTGATTTGGTGTACCAGAAAGGCCTCCCTGTAAGCGAGCCTGGGTGCTGAAGCATGGTTCAATATTGGGTCCCGAATGGGTCTTTGTATGCCAGGGGTGTCTTTGCCAAACTTACTTGGCAATTGTTTCACAACTTGAAAACTAAACGAACGGAAATATGGTTTTCTACCTGTTTTCACAAGATACATGTTGTAACTGTTCAGCATTGTTACGTCAATAAGGTGGAAAATCATTTTCTTTGTCCATTTCACTGTTTTCCGTACACACACTACAGCACTCGCCATCATGTCAAACTTACCTAAACGCATCAGGTTGTCACACACAATTTGGCTTATATACTTTCTTCGCATGTTGATGTTGTAGTCCATCACACAATCTGGCTTATTTTAACACCTATTATAACAACTAATATAGCAAGTTGTTGTTCTAATTCACACTTGCCACTGTCAAGTTTACCATTGTAACCAGACAGTTACGAATGGTGGTCAACATGTTCACTTCACGTCTGTCTTTCCACCGGACTGAAAGTATTGCACCACTTTTTCTTACCTCGCAATCACCTACTTGCATAGCAGTGTCACACAGGCATTTCCCTTCGTTTTGCCTTTACTGTGCCACACACTCCAGTTTAATTATCAAGCAAGAATCTGGTTAGTATGGGACTGGTATAATAGTTATCCGTGTACAATGTGTGACCCTTGTTCAGATATGGTGCAAGTAGTGCCTTCACCACACTACCTGAGAAGCCATGTTGGTCATTAACAGGAATGTCTACATATGTAGCCGAATACAGTATCGTCTGTAACACCATTCCAGATTCAGTCACAGAGCACAAAGAATTTCAATCCAAATCGGTGGCATTTTGAGGGAATATATTGCTTGAAGGCAGCACTTCCTTTGAAAAGCACAAGGGATTCATCAATAACCAGCTTCTGAAGCTGGTACTTAGTAATCTCTGAACTTTCCAGTCAGGTCATTTAGCACGTGCCTCACCCTCCAATGCCTATCATCCTCTCTCTCGTCTGTATTATTTGCAAAATGAAGACACCGTAGGAGTAACAGAAAACGGTCTCGGGACACACATTTCCCGAACAATGGTGTTGGAACAGCGATGTCTTTGCTCCAATAATGGGATATTACGTGTTTCACACAATGTTTCATCAACATACAAATTGCGAAAAACACATACAGTTCACCTACAGTCGTCTCTTTCCAATGCTGTAATCGTGAAAATTCTGATACCTCCTCACCTTCAATGAGATCAGCTGCAAGTCTGTTCGTTTCGTGAACAATGTTCCATGAGCGGCTCATCGAAATATGTAGTAAAGAAGTCCATTTCACTCATTTCGTCACGTGTATCAGGGGAAAAGATCTGTAATTCCCACATCTCTATTGTCAAAGTCGGGAATTTGTGGAACAAAATCTTCCCCATCACTCCACACAAATAAACCTGCTGTCTTCCAAGAGCCATTAGCTGCACCACGGCGAGGAATCCGGGGACCAGGAACTGAAGCAGGTCTAGCAACAGTAGGGGCAGGAAGGGTCGATGAGGGAAAAGTATTGGAACATGAGGGGATTTGTTCCTTATTGTTCTATGCGGCGGCGCTTAGCTGGGCAGGCAGCTGATGCTGCGAAACTTGTACTGGCACTAGCAGGCGTGGCAAAACTATTCCCCGATTCTTCATCACTAAAACCAGTGAATGATTCACCTGTTTCAGACTCGTCGATCATATCATATAAACTTGCAATGGAACACATGAACTATGTGCTTGGGCGCGAAGTGGTGTTGAGTGGTGTTGAGTAGTAGCAGGTGACTCTCGTGGCATCCTCACCCACGTGGCACCAACATGTTCACCCTCACTATCAGTGGTTTCTATTTCAATATCAGATTCGTCAACGTCTTTGAACAATTCATTGGCTATTTTGTCTTCGGTCAAAGACTGCGCAGTGCGCTGAGCGAGGTCAGATGCTGGGTCGTGAAGCGCTCGCCATAGTGTCTGGCCAATAACTAAGGCCTGGGAAACAAAGGAGGCCTGCACTAGATTTTTTTCAAAGATGGCGTCTGTTTTCAATCGCCACTGGCTACGGTATGCGTGACCCCTTTACACCGTGGGACATTCGAATCGTGCCTGTCGCCCTATGGCATATATATATACGCCATGCGCACGCTGGGACATGTTACTCATGGCGTATATATACGCCATGCGCAGTTTAAGGGTTAACTGTAGATAGATAAGAAAAATACAAAAAGGTATATTTAATTGTAGTGAATAAAATTCGTGTTAATCAAGTTAATCAATCTTGGAATAAATTGTCAGCAATTATATAATTTTCTACATTTGATTAAAGGCATATTTTTTCAGATATAGAGGGAAGAACAGTGTAATTTATTATACATCAATTTATTGTATAAACATTGCATGCATAAATGACATTATCCTTGTTTGTACATGATTGAAACATGCAGACATCAGGGTTGCTTGCCATTCTCCTATCTTGCTGGCAGGTGAGGCAGGATGTATGGTTGGCAGGTGGGGCAGGGAGGGCAGGATGTATGGTTGGCAGGTGGGGCAGGGAGGGCAGGATGTATGGTTGGCAGGTGGGGCAGGGAGGGCAGGATGTATGGTTGGCAGGTGGGGCAGGGAGGGCAGGATGTATGGTTGGCAGGTGGGGTAGGGAGGGCAGGATGTATGGTTGGCAGGGAGAGCAGGATGTATGACTGGCTGGTGGGGCAGGGAGAGCAGGATGTATGACTGGCTGGTGGGGCAGGGAGAGCAGGATGTATGACTGGCTGGTGGGGCAGGGAGGGCAGGAAGAGTGTATGGTAGAGTCTGGAGAATGTATACTTGGGGAGAGGGGGAGAGAGGGTGGATGTATGTTGGCAGGGTTCAGTTTTTGCACCAGTAATGTTCATTGTCTGTATATACGACCTACCAATTGCCTATTGACCTACCTATTGATAACCCAAATGAATTTTTCATGGATATGATACCAACATCAAATCATATATCAGACGTTGCCCTATCCCCACTAGATTTTGAAGAAGCCATAAACAGTATGCCTATGCACTCTGCACCAGGCCCGGATTCTTGGAACTCCGTATTCATCAAGAACTGTAAAAAATCACTCGCAGGTCCTTCACATTCTGTGGAGACAAAGCCTAGATACTGGCGTTATCCCTGACATACTCAAAACAGCAGAGATAGCACCACTCCATAAAGGAGGAAATAAGGCAGAGGCAAAAAATTACAGACCGATAGCACTAACATCTCACATCATAAAAATTTTTGAGAGAGTGCTAAGAAGTAAGATCACAAAATACATGGAATCACAGCATCTCCATAACCCCGGACAACATGGTTTCAGAACAGGGCGCTCTTGCCTGTCGCAGTTGCTGGACCACTATGATATGGCATTAGATGCTATGGAAGACAAAACGCTGATGTAATTTACACAGATTTCGCAAAAGCTTTTGATAAATGTGACCATGGTGTTATTGCACATAAAATGCGTTCAAAAGGAATTACAGGTACCGGGAAAATAGGCAGATGGATCTACAATTTCCTGACTAACAGAACCCAATGTGTAATAGTCAACAAAATAAAATCCAGCCCATCAACAGTAAAGAGCTCAGTCGCCCAGGGTACTGTGCTTGCTCCAGTACAGTCCCCCAGGGTACTGTGCTTGCTCCAGTACAGTCCCCCAGGGTACTGTGCTTGCTCCAGTACTTTTTCTCATTCTCATATCGGACATAGACCAGAACACAACCTATACTGTAGCACTGTATCATCCTTTGCAGATGACACTAGGATTTTCATGACAGTTGGCAACATAGAGGACATGGCAAACCTCCAATTAGATGTAGATCAGGTCTTTCTATGGGCTACAGAAAATAATATGGTGTTTAACGAGGATAAGTTCCAGCTCATGCGCTACGGAAAAATTAAAAATATAAAAACAGAAACCACGTACAAAACTCAGGCAAATCATAACATAGAACGAAAAGGCAATGTAAAGGATCTGGGTGTACTCATGTCGGAAGACCTTACCTTTAAAGAACACAATAAAGTAGCCGTCACAACTGCAAGTAAAATGACAGGTTGGATAACAAGAACTTTTCACACTAGAGATGCTATACCGATGATACTTTTCAAAACGCTTGTGCTCTCTAGAGTGAAGTACTGCTGCACAATCACAGCCCCTTTCAAAGCTGGAGAAATTGCTGACCTGGAGAGCGTGCAGAGATCCTTTACTGCTAGAATCCACTCAGTAAAACATCTAAATTACTGGGTCCGACTAAAGAGCCTAAATCTGTACTCCCTTGAGCGCAGGTGGGAGAGATACATAATAATTTACACGTGGAAAATAATTGAGGGGCTGGTCCCAAACCTGCACACAGAAATAACATCACATGAGAACAGAAGACATGGCAGGATGTGCAGAATACCCCCGTTGAAAAGCAGAGGTGCAACAGGTACTCTGAGAGAGAACTCTATCAACATCAGAGGCCCGAGACTGTTCAACACGCTTCCACCACACATAAGGGGCATAACTGGCCGACCCCTCACAGTGTTCAAGAGAGAACTGGATAAGCACCTTCAAAGGATACCTGATCAACCAGGCTGTGACTCATACGTCAGGCTGCGAGCAGCCGCGTCTAACAGCCTGGTTGATCAGTCCAGCAACCAGGAGGCCAGGAGGCCTGGTCAACGACCGGGCCGCGGGGACACTAAGCCCGGGAAGCACCTCAAGGTAACCTCAAGGTAAGGTACCAGAAGGAATACAGAATTACATGAACATGTTTGATGATGATGCTAAGGTACTGGGGAATGTAGAAGACCTAGATACTTGTCATGCCCTTCAAATTGATCTAGATAAAATATGTGCTTCGAGGGACACGTGGCAAATGGAATTCAATAAATAAATGCCATATTATGGGATGTGGAATCGGAGAAAATAGACCACACACAATTTATAAATTATGTGGAAAGGAATTAAAGAACTCTAATAAACAGCGAGACCTAGGGGTGGTTTTGGATAGCAAACTGTCGCCAGAGGAACAAATAAAGAACATTGTAAGAGGAGCGTATGTGTCGCTTTAAACTTCAGATTTGCTTTTAATTAAATGGATGGTGAAATACTAAAAAAACTGTTCATGACTTGTGAGACCCAAATTAGAATATGCAGCAGTTGTATGGTGCCCAAATCTCAAGAAGTACATCAATAAACTGGAAAAGGTGCAAAGGCATGCAACAAAATAACTTCCAGAACTAAAAAACAAAAAAAAAAAAAAAAAAAAAGTTACGAGGAGAGGCTAGAAGTGTTAAATATGACAAAACTAGAAGTTAGAAGAAAAAAGAGAGATGATATGATCAACACTTACATAATACTAACAGAAATTGACCAAATTGACAAGAGAAATTTCTGAAACCAGCACCTTCACGAACAAGAGGACAGATTCAAGCTAAGAAAACAGGTGCCAATTTTTTTTGCAAATGAGTGGTAGACAATTGGAACAAAGAGTACTGGGAAGACGGGCATAGCTCTCATCACCACGAGCATAGCTCTCATCTTGTAACTACACTTAGGTAATTACACACAAGACCCTAGAATAGAGAGCTTTCTTTTCCAGCGCCTCAGTGTGGCAATCCAGTGAAGCCATGCCCGCTGCATCCCCGGTTCATGCCCGGCGTCGGAGGAGTTCAAAGAAATCTACAGCCTCTAGGAAAGAGACTTCCCTCTATTTCCTCTGAAACTTTACATTTTGTCACCAATTACCTATACAAGTATGTAACCTTGTATAATAAAGTGCATAGCAATAATAATAATGGGGTGGTAGGAGAAGCAAATACTCGTTATATTTAGTGTTTTTCTCGAAATACTCTTTTATTCCCTTCTCTGATCCAGTGGATCCCATATACATACATATTTATATTATTCATGACAATGATATATCTTCAATAAACAACAATTTCCTAATAACTGGAGAAGTGCTGCAGTCTGTACAAGAGAGCCGATCCAAAATTATTCCCTGCAGTTAAGAAGCCACTTTTAGGAGAGAAGTTAAGAACTTGCACTTTACGTAAAGAATACTGTCCGCCAGGGAAATTGTTGAAGTATGTCATTGATGGGAAGTGTACCTGTCAAAGATACAAAAAGCAATATAGTATTTATTTACAATGTCTAGTTTATTTATACAGACATTCTATATTTATAAGGAGTTCATAATCTAAGATCCAACCAATTTAGGTATGAATCTATGATCCTTATGCCAGGCATCTCACAATACAAACAGCATTATGAGTATTCTTAAAAACAGTGTTGAATGTAATGAAATGCCATTTTCTGGGTGAGACCCTGAGTTTTCCTGGAGCTATCTGGGCCGATATGAATATTCTACCGTTGACAAGGTAGCAAGCGGCCAGAACCCTGTTCGACCTCCAAAAACCCTGTGCCTAAGACGTGTTACCGAAGACAACAGCCAGTACAGCAAACTTATGAATATCGTGAGCACAAGAATAGACTGCTGGCTGGACTGAATAACCTTGTGGATGACCTGGAAGATCCAAACCCTGGAACAGGGAAACCAGGTCAACCCAAAGTGTGTCCTCGGCTGCCGAGGCCATGGCATGCAGGTAACGGTGAAGAGCCGTAACTGGACACAGCACATGATGCACCCCCACCCTGACCAACCAAGCATCAACCACCCAAGGACACCTCTGGAAAGCAGCAATTTCATTCCTTGTCGGAAAAGAAGACGGCGGCTGGAACCGAACAAACCTACCACTAGGACCAAAAGAGCAAAAAACCCCTGCGTTGGAGGAGAGCATGAAGCTCCCTGATCCGACTCCCAGAGGCCAATGCCAACAAGAAGAGAGCCTTCACCAGGAGAGCATGAAGCTCCCTGATCCGACCCCCCCAGAGGCCAATGCCAACAAGAAGAGAGCCTTCACCAAACAATCCAGAACCGAAGAGACCACCACAAATCGAGGAGAAGGGCGAAAGAAGAGCACCTGATCCAAGGACCAGGATAGCTCAGGTGGCGCATGCGAAATAACGGAAATACTGCCAGAAAACTTCATACTGTACTGCCACCGAGACGAAGCACGCAGGTGGGACACCAAAAACGAATCCACTTGCTCATCATACACAACCTGTCCTTCATTCAAGTCCATTACATCTAGTGGTTCGACCCCACAGACGCATTCATAAATTTTTACGTTGCTGTTCATTCAATATGGGAATTTTCTCATATATAAATTAATGTTATAATATATTAGCATATTGTGCATATATAGGTTAGGTTACGTTACATGTTTAGGCTCTGTTGGCAATTATTTGTAGTACGTGGGTGAAGCATTTACAGCATTGTGATTCAAACGAAATTTGTGTGAAGCATTTGTTCTGGAAGTGTTTCAATGAAATCAGTTGTGAGTCATGTGTAACCCATTTTTCATTCATAAACGGGGTTTGGCGGGTGCATAGAATCACCTTTGGATATTTGTTTGGAGGACGGGCTGCCATGCAAGTGGTGATAGATTCGAGGAGAAAATCAAACCAGCCTGGTAACGGACCGGACCGATCTGCTGAAAGAGGCGGAGTCGCGGGAAACACCCAGGGTTCGGACACTAAGCAAGCAGCACCTCAAACGAAGGCTGGGCTGGCCACCAAAGAGCCAAGAGGGCTACTCTCCCTTGGTAAGTCTCCAAGCAAGCTAGGACCTGGAGTCACAGCTGAACCGGGGAAAAGAGATGAAGGTAACCCCACCTCGACCAGTCCTGCTGCAAAGCATCAACCCCGACGGCCTCGCAGTTGGGAAAGGGCACCACATATATCGGGAGACGCCTCAACCACGCCAACGCGAAGAGGTCTATACTTCCTGGAGCCCATACGTCCAGCAGAGCCAACTAAAGGAGTCGGCATCGACTGTCCATTCCATGGAAAGGGAAATAAACAGACGGGCCATTCGCCAGGATGGCCTGTCTGTTCACCCCCAAACACAAACAGCTAGGAGAGCCAAACCCTGAGAACTCAGTAGACGAGTCACCCGAAATGACCAGCCCCAAAGAACCAAGGACTGCATGCAACCCCCACGGTTCTGGCAACGAACCACCAGTCAGCAGTCCGAATAGAGCTGGATCATTGATCCGCAAGCGACGCGAATCCTCTGAAGCAACTCCCACACCGCGACAAACTCTTGCACAGTGCTGTGGGCCCGACGGAAGGATGGACCCCCGACATAAGGCCCCCAGGGTCGAACCCAACAATCACGAGAGAGAGGTGGAAGGGACGGCCCCGAAGGAACCAGAACAGCCTACAAAGCCAAACCTGACCCGGCAGGTAGACCATCATGGCAAAGTTCAGGCTCCTGCACAAACCCTCAAGAGACCACTGGGTGACTCAGGAGCCCCCCAGAAACAGTCGAAGGTAGGACTGCAGCCAAAGCAGAGACTCTAGAGGGAGAGACAAGGAAGTGGTCCAAGAGTCCCCACACAAGACCGAGCCTGAGAGGGAACCAGATGGGTCTTCCTCTAGTTCACCAGGAACCCGAACCCGGCGAGCTGGGAAAGAACCAAATCCCTGGCGAGCACACAAGTGGACCGGCTTGTCTGGTCCACGCCAGCCAGTCGTCGAGGTAGGTCAGAATCCGAACACCTAAGAGATGCAGACGGGCCACAATGACCCGGGTAAGGCGTGTGAACACGCGAAGTGCCAGATTCAAGCCGAAAGGAAGGCAACAAAAGCGGTAAGCCTGATGTCCCACAACAAAACTGAGCCAGTTTCTGAACCCCGGATGAATCGGGACTTGCCAATGTGTGTCTCGGAGGTCCAGGGACACCAACCAAGTGCCCGGCTCCAAGAGAAGTCAGACCTGGGACAAAATAGTCATCCGAAAGGAGGTGGCAATAGACCCCGGGGGTTCAGTCGGGACAAGTTCAGAATGAACTGCAAGTCTGCACAGTCACAGTCCCGTTTGAGGACTGGAAACAGACGGGAAACACACCTGAGGGACGTTGTCATTTCGACCACGCTCAAGTGCACTCATCCCGAGATGACCTGACAGAGTGCAGGAGAAGAGACCTGCTCAGCCAGCCGCGAACCCCCAGGAGGAGGGGCCACCCAACACGACCGCAGGCCGCCGGAAACGATCCGAAAAGTCCACAAATCGTGAGACCAGGCATGAGCAAACGGCGCAAGCCTCTCCCCCATCAACGAGACAAACCACGAAAGGGCTGATGCCCCTTGTGAGAACCCAACGTACGAGCAGAGCGAACACTGCATCGACATGATGAAGTCGGGTCGACACCAAATCCAACTTGGGGGGGATGGAAGGGAGGAAAACCCCACTCCCTGTAACAGCAAGCCCCACTCGGAGAATACAAAACTCAAGCGGAGTCCAATGGGGGCCCCCAAGACAACCCCTCCCCAGCCCCGAGAACCCCTACATCAGGACCCGAGGCCAAGTTGTACCCCAAAGCCCCAGCCTGAAAAGGAAAGGGCTCACTGGTCAAACCCAGATGCTTCGGCAGGAGGAACCGACTCGAATGCCTCCGTAGCCACCCCGGAAGGGGCATCCCCCGAGACAGCCCGAGTCTCCAAACCAACTAAACTCTGCCCCGACTCTGAAACCCTCGGATGTTTCAGAGCTGGAAGCAGGGGAGGAGGACCAGAACGAACCACAGCAGGGGAAAGACTTTGGGGCGCAGACTGAACTAAAGTCGAGGCGACTAACACCCAAAGGAACTGAGCAACCCTCAAACTCGCACGAGGCGAGAGGGAACCCAGGGGTCACATCCATCAAACCCAGATGCGCCCATGGGACCCTTAGACGGAACTCACGCTAAGGGAAGCCCAGACAGGGTACTGCTAACCAGCGCCTAAAGTTACCAATAAAATTGCTCCACTGGGATGTGTACACTCGTAGGGGCCTAGCAGGGGACCACCAAGATACAATCGGGTGAGGCCAAAACCAAGGGGAAGAACCCCCACCAGGTAAAAAAAAGAAAAACCCTGCAAGAGGACAATGTACCCAGGTGGAACAGAGCCGGCTGGTATGAGAGGTGACGAATACTACCCCCTACCCAGAGGCAAACAGGGATGAATGAAACATCCCAGCTGACTCCAAGGGTGGCCAATCACTAAGCAGCAAAGACCTTGCAGAGGTAGCCCCCAAGGTGACGTGTGGAAGATGGCCCCAAACCCCAAGGCCAGTACTTACAAGGCACCTAGGGAAGGTGACCCTAGGCGCATGCAGCCCAAGTCCAGTACTTGTGAATATACTCCTGGCTCGCACACCACCAAGGACAAAGCACAGGACTGGAAATTAGGAGCCAGTCGCATGACTTTGCCAGAACCTCACATCAGCCACAGAACTGCAGGGTGGATAGCCGGCACTGGGGGAGGGGGGGGGTCTGTGGCCCCCCCTCTCCTTCCTTCCTCTCGGGGTGGGGGGGGGGTGGGGAAGAGTGGTGACGTCATGCTCGTTTATTTGTTTTCATTTAGGGAGTTCTGTCCATTAGTTTGGCTTTCAGTAGCAATATTTTAACCAGAATAGGGGTTTGTTTTGGGGCGCTTACCTTTCTGGGTACCAAACCCAGTCGATGGCAGACACAGAATGTTTACAACCACACGCATTTCTATAGGCCATTGGTCCTCGTGCCTCTCTGAGGGGGCCAGGTTCTGGCTCATGGTCCCTGGTTGGCCTAAGAACTCCATTCGCTTTGACTAATGCCAGGGTCTAATACATTCATATCAGCCCAGATAGGGAGCCGAAGGGGTGCCCCCAAAAACAGCACTGAATGTAATGAAATACCTCTTTATGGGTAAGTCCTGATGGTTCCCTGAAGAACACTGAGATGGTTCCCATCTACCAGGTTGCATCAGCCCTGGGATTCTTAGGCTTGCTGGGGACTATAGCCAGAACTTGGCCCCCTCACAGAGGCGGTAGGAACAGTGACATTTCACCGCCTCACCAAGGAAGGAATTCAGAAAGTCGGAACAAACCACTGCTGGGTTCAAAAGAGACAATTCTCCCAACTTGCCTAATGAACTCCAACTATGTAAAATAATCAAATGTCTCCAAACTAGTATGAGTTTGTTCACCCCACCTCCACTCCTACACGGGTCTGAGCAGTCAGTTCATATGCTGATGCAGAAATAAGACCCACCCAAGTACCTGGAAGGGAAGGGGGTTATTCAGGGAGCCACCGGGGCTCCCCAGAAAGAAGTGTTTCATTACAGTACAGTATATTCAACACTGGTGTTCTGGGAGAAGCCCCTTGAGGCTTCCTGAAACTAACTACCCATGAAGGAGAATATCTGGACACTTACCAGGGAGGAGTTAGATCTGAGGGAGTCAGGATAAAGAAAAGACCCCCAGATGAAAGCCACAACCCAAAGCCATACAAGGATGCCGAGGCGCTGCAATATTCACCAAATAACTGGGCCACCAGAAGCCCGTTAGACCGCCAAAAACCTCATGCTAGATATCGGCCCAGAATATGCATTATTAGTAAACACAGCCATGAGAGGAGAATATTTATTTCCAAACATCATAGGCATGAAGGTCGACTTAACTTTGGCTATACCTTATAACAAAATTCAAACATTGAAATTCAAATGTTTATTCAGGTAAAGTACATATATACAAGGTGTGATACAAACATTGATGGATTTATGGATACAGATAGTACATACAATGCCTAACACTGTGGATAACCTGAGAACTACGAACCTTGGAACAAGAACGAAGGAAAGAGGATCAACCCACAAAGCTTCCACTGAAGCAGAATCAGTGGCACTAATTTAGCGGTGAAGAGCTGCCAATGGACACAGCACATGATGCACCCCCAGCTGATCCAAATGTCAATAACCAAAGGACCCCACCAAAAGTCAACCAACTCATTCCAAGTAGCTTGGAACGAATTGGAAGAGCCGAATGCAAGTGAACAAAGTGGTCCCCAGGGTTGAAGGAACAGAAACTGTGCATCCTGAGGAGAGCATGAAGTTCCCGACCTGCCAACTGCAGGCAAGAGACATAAAAAAACAACAACAAAGCTTTGGAAAATGAATTCTGGACTATTAGAAGGAAAGCAACATGTAAAAATCTGGGAATTATGATGTCTGACAACCTGACATATAGTGAACATAACCCGAGCAAATATAGCGGCAGCCAGGAAAATGATAGAATGGATTATGAGAACGTTCAAATCCAAGGACCCCACAGCAATGCTAATACTATTTAAATCACTGGCATTGTCCCGTCTTGAATATTGCTCAGTACTCGCTTCCCCTTACAGAGCAGGAGAGATCTCTGAATTAGAGGGAATAGAGAGAACATATACGGCTTGAATATAAACTATAAAACATCTAAATTATTGGAACTGTCTCAAAGCTCTCAAAATGTACTCTGGAAAGGAGACGAGAAAAGTATCAAATAATATATACATGGAAGATACTGGAGGGCCAGGTCCCAAATTTGCATAGTAGAATAACATACTAGAGCAAAAAGTACAGAAGGAAATGTAAAATAGAACCAGTGAGTAGAGGTGCCACAGGCAATCAGAGAGCACTGTCTTAACATCAGGGGTCCACTTTTGTTCAACACCCTACCAGCAGGCAATAGAAATATTACTGGAATGAAGGTGGATGTATTCGAGGTTCTTGCAAGAAGTGCCGGACAAACCAGGCTGTAGTGGATATGTGGGCCTGCGGGCCACTCCAAGCAACATCCTGTTGGACCAAGTTATCACAAGTCAAGCCTGGCCTCGGGAAATAGAAGATCTCCCGAAACCCTCTCCGGGTATGCTCCAGACTGTAGGGAACGCAGTAATATGAGAAGAAAGAAAAGCAAGAACAGTCCAATGACCATGCAGGAGTAGGAAGGAGAGATGAGCAAATTTAGACCAGATGGAGTTCACCAACTCCAAAACTAGATCCATAAACACCATAAGGGTCAATGCTGGTGCATCCAAATATACACCACACTGCAAACCATGAAAGTGGGGAAAACCAACCCCAGCAAAGTGGCAGCTGCCTGAAATGCCTCCTGTCCAAAGGCAGGCTCCAATAAGATAGACCCAATGAGCACAAATGTTGCAGGATTCTGGGTTGAAGGTGTCAGTGCCCCAACAGGCAGCATGGCAACGACAAACAGAAGGATCGGCAGCAAGAAGTAAAGCCGACTGACATCCTTCAAATTCGTATGTAACAAAAGCTAACCTAGGCAGGACACCCAGATGCTACTAAAGGAATGTTTGCCATAAAATCAAAACACCCAGTGCAGCCTATTGGCTAAACCTGGCTATGATTAGTGTCTGTGCCCTGCAGAATGCTGTATAAACAAATGCATGAACTCTCACAATAAAACAAAACAGAATGCCCCCAACTGCAAGGTGTGGCAGAGGATTCAACAACTCATGCACTCCCCCAGGGGAGACTATCTATCCCAGTGGCCTGGCCTCTCAGGGGCGAACTCCCAAACACACCAGAGAAAGCACTGACAGTGCGCAGGCAATGCTCAATGAGCGCCTGAGGAAGGCAGTCGTAAACATGTGCAGCGCAAGTTGCAGATTACGCCAAATCCATTCAAGAGTGTGGAAAACACGCTCATCGCACAGCGCACTAGGAACATTACCAATACAATAGATTAGTAAAATGGCCTCCACATTACACGAGTCCAAAGGATTACCAATACTTATCTTGGAGAAGAACCAGAACTTTGTATGAAGAGGTGACTAGGGAAGGCGAGATGTGGACCTTCCCACATCAACAATAGGACTGAAGCACTCGCCGGCCTTGGTGGTCCAGTGCAATAGAGGGCCACCAAGTTTTATACACAGTTTTGTGTTAACCATTTTTTTTTTATACATAGGTGGGTACAAGAATAGACAGCTGCTGACTTCTGTTAGCAGGCTGAAAGTTTTCCCATCCCATGGCTCATGGTAAACCTTATCCACTAGTTTCCCTGGAATGAGACCTGCCAATTGTATAACAACTAGGTACCCAATCACTGCTAGGTGAACAGTCATATAGTTAAGGACTGGCACTTAAGTCTATCCTCTCTTGGGAGGATATTTCACATTGCTCGCAAAGCACAGGGAGTGTGTGTTACCACTGTGACACCAGTGACTGCTTTCATTTTGAGTGATTCTTTTGTGGTGTTTGTTTAGCATTTCAAAGTTTCACTTTTATGAACCATGCAGTTGTCTGTATTGTCTCATGTTCTTTCTGCTCGTGTTCTCGGTGAGGGTAAGTGTAACAATCCCCTGCTCTGTGTGTGCCTCTTGGAAGGGGGACCAGGTTCTGGCCCTGGACTCCAAGAGGATGCCTATGATTGATGTGACTTAGTACTGGCAAGCTATTTCAGTGACTTTGCTTCAGAGAGCCACCAAAGGGCTCCCCCAGAAATATTAACATAACAAAAATACAGTGGATTATTGGATTGTTTTAAGTAGATTAGAAATACATATGAAGTTTGCTTGGTCAAACAGACTTTTTACAGTTTCCTCTATTTTTATGTTTTATGGTACTAAATAGAAAAACAAAGCATAAGGTCTTACCAGTTTCATAGCACTGTCCATGGCATTTGAAGCCATTCCCAAAATTTCAGAAGAAGAGTTAAAGGTAAGGGCAGTAACAGGTGTTACTAATTTATCCAAGATTTTAACTGGACATGGTGTCTTGCTTGAGACACTGGCCATGTCATATATGTTGACAATTCCAGATGATGATCCACATGCAAGATACATGTTGCTCGGTGACACGGCAATACTTGTGCCATCTATACAGCCATCGTCGAAGAACCTATGAACACAAGTAAGGGAAACCATGTCCCATACCAAAACATCGCCCCCATCTGAAATAACACACATTGTTAGAATTTGCATTCTGGATAAAGTGATTTTATATGGCACTGCACTACTAAGAGGTACAAAGTGTGGATGGGTAGGATGGACAGGTGGGAGAAGTGGGTTTGAGGGAAGGAAGTGGTGAAGGTGGGTGGGGTGTTTAGATGGTCTGAGAGGCAGGGTGAGGCATCTGCTCTATATGGATGGATGTTCAGATGATTATCATTAGGCAGGTGTTTATGGTTCCCCAAATGCATGCTGTGTGGGAGTGCTTGCCTACCACTGACTATAGAGCAATGAAACCTATCTCTTTATGCCCTACCTCCTAGTTGTTTATACCTGGTGTGCTAATTACCTCTCTCAACATTAATGTTTTCATATTATTTATTTTTGAAGTTGTGGATAGAATTGCTTCAACAACCTCTTCCTTCAATGCATTCCACTTGCCGAACACCCATATATGTAACAAGAACTTCTTTACGTCTCTTTGACTTGACTACACTTAAGAGATTCCACCAGTGTCCCCTCAACCTACCTCTTTGAAACATGGGGAGACAGTCCGAATGAAGATAAACTACAGAGGCCGGAGGGATCCGAACCTTACGCAGTGCATGCCACACGGCTGCAATCTCTTGCACAATACTGTGAGCACAAGGAAGGTAAGAGGACTGTGGACCCTGACCAGCTTGGTGAATATTGGTCACAAAGCCCCAACTGAGGTATCCGTGAAGACGTCAAACCAGGGAAGAGAAAGGCACCAGGGAACTGAACCCTGAAAACCCCCAAGAGGAAGCCAACAATGCAACAGCCGGCAAATGGCGTCTGGAGTCCACAACCAGTGATCGTGGCCGTGGCAGAAGAGCCGACTCCAGAGAAACCTAAACAACCTATAAAACCAAACCCTGCCCAAGGTAAACACAAGAACAAAGTTGAGACTCACGCACAGCTGCTTGAACAACTGCCGAGCAGGAAAATGTTTTCCCGGAGGAACAACTGCTGACAGCAGGCATAATATCATAAAGGTGAACTGGAAGGTCATCCCAAAGCAAGGAGAGAGAGGGTAAGTCATATCGGCTCATTGGGGTGTCTATTCATGATAATAGGGCGGTTCTGAGCCGATTCCCCAAACAGTATGACAGTGAGCCCCTTTCTCCATAGTTAACACTTTCGCCCAGGCATGACGCAGCATTGCGTCATCCGTTTACTGGCGGTAATACCGGGGATGACGCAGCATTGCGTCATCCACTTTAAATAATCGCCAAAAATCAGGTTTTTATCCGATTTTTTTGGGACTGGTTTTAAAATGTGCGTCGATGTCTTCCCATTTTCTTTGTTGAGCCTCGTGGCCCTCAGGTGGCTTGGCACATGCCGTGGGCCCATTGTTTTCGCTCCACTGTTGTGACCAATGTCGCCTCCCCTCGCATCTCAAACGTGTGAACATTTCGGCTATTTTCCGTGGCTATATTTCTTACTGCGCCTTTAGAAACTATCTACCCTTACTCCACGATGGATAGTGATCATGAACAAGGCCCTTCCAGGAAGAAAATTGCGAAAGAAAGGCTTGAAAAGGGAGGGAATTGGGAGTGTAGCTGGAAGGCGTCTGAGCGCTCACTCGCGGCTAACGCGTGGCCCGTCTTCAACTCGTCGGCGGTTGGAGTGTGACCAGGTTTTATATTTTATATGCTAATGTTCCTCTAGAGAATTCTATTGCGAACCCATTGCGCCCAAAATGAAAGACCTAGGACAAAAATTGAGGTGACCAGAGTGAAAATAGTGAAAACATTTTATCGCGTTTGCGCGCTCCTGGGTAACTCGTTCGCACTTTCTCTGTTTGCTGCGGGTAATTAGCCGGGCTTTTGGAGTTTATATGCATTTAGTGCTGTAGAGAATTCTATTGCGAACACAATGATACCAAATTTAATCTCGTAGGACGAGAATTAAGGTGACAAAGTTGAAGAGAGTATACACTTTTCAGAATTTACGCGCGCTCCCGTGACACCCTGGGTCCCATATCGCACAGTTGAGGGGTGGCGCGCGGGGTGAGCGAAAGTGTTAAGATTATTAGCCCCTGGGCTGATCTTGTGATTATAGCCTGCAACACGCCCAGGCGCAAGAAATAAAAAAAAATAAAAAAAACAGCGTTGAATGTAATGAAATGCCATTTTCTGGGTGAGCCCCGGAGCCTCCCTGGAGCTTATCGGGCTAATGTATGTTATATTAGACCGGGACATTAGCTAAGGAGTTCACACCTACCAGGGACCAGCGCCAGAACCTGGCCCCTTCAGAGAGGTTTCAGGGAGCAATGGCCCTGGAAAAAAAACCTTGTGGCTGGGGTTTTCCTTATCTGCCATCGACCAGGGTCAGGCACCCAGAAAGGTAGGCATAACAAAACAAACCCCACATGATAAAAACTAAAACAAAAAACCGAACAGAGAGGTAGAAACTCCCTACAATCCCAAGGAAACAAGCAAACATCACACTTTACTGCCGCGCCGATCGTCCGCACAGCCTTCCCCGCCCTGAGAGGGAGAGGAGGGAGCCCCGGACCTCACCACGCCGGATGCCTAGCATCAGTTCGTAAGCTAATATCAACCGGGATAGACACTTCTCTGGCCTCAGTTTCCTAGGTGGTGTTTGCCTTGTGTGGCGTTCACTGCCGTGTGGTGTGTTGTGTTGTGCGGTGGCCAGGAGTACCTTATGAGTACCGGGGCTGCATGCGCTTAGGGGCTTCCTTCCCCAAGCGCCCTGTGAGTACAGCCCCTGCGTGACAAGGTTATCTTCCCTGGAGTGTTCGGGAACCATTCCCATAGAGGTTCTTGCTGCTCGGCATTTGCCTCGCCCTTGGGGCCAGCTGGGGCTTGGGCCCTTGTTTGGCCCTGGGTAGGGACTGGTATATCTTGAGATGATTTCGGGGCTTTTTAGTGTCCCCGCGGCCCAGGCCTCCACCCCTCAGGAAGCAGCCCGTGACAGCTGACTAACACCCAGGTACCTATTCTACTGCTAGGTAACAGGAGCATAGGGTGAAAGAAACTCTGCCCATTGTTTCTCGCCGGCGCCTGGGATCGAATCCAGGACCACAGGATCACAAGTCCAGCGTGCTGTCCGCTCGGCTCCCATTGGTATTGTGTTGGTTAGGGCGTCAAGGTGTTGCGCGACCTGCCACCTAACCGGTTCCTGTTGCCTCTGGAGACGGTGTACTTTTGGGGGTTTCTCTTTTGTTTTTATTTTCATTTGCCTGGTGGGGGTATGCCCAGTGTGGCTATAGTTCAACTGGTAGTGTTTGGTGGTCCTCTGCTAGGCCCCTGTGATTGTACACATCGTAGGGGTTTTCAGTGTTGTCCTCTACCCCCTTGTTATTTTTGGGTTTCTTAACCGGTTAGCAACACCTTGCCCGGGCTTCCCGTAGTTGTTACCCCTACGGGCCCTGGAAACCCCTGTCGAGGCTCAGTGGACCATTGAATGTGTCTTCCGGGTTCCAACCCGTCTTGTACGGGATCGTTCGTTGCTGTGCCCTTGTCTCCGGGTGACAGTCGCCACTTTTACCTCCGTCATGCTGCCTGTTGGGTCACTGACACCTTGACCCGGAGTCTTGCGAGAGAGATTCTCTGCTTGTTCTCCAGTACTCTCCTGATGTTCTTACTGTTCAGAGTACAGGCGGCATCTGTGTTGCAAGCTAGGTTTAGGTTGCTGCAACAAGCTAGGTTGGTTACCCACTCGGATGCCCCGGGGCCGCCTCATTTTGGTTAGGTGCTGTTAGCCCCTTTCCCTCCCTGTTCCCAGCTCCTGACCATCTGCGGGTTTCGGGGTCGGGGCGGGGTTTAGTTGGGGCCGAGATTTGGGCGGTTTCGGGGGCTGCCCTGTTCAGGTTGGGGACGGAGGTTTTCGAGCCTGTTCCTCCTGCAAAGGCTTCTGGGTCTTACCAGCGGCCCTTTCTTGCTGCATTTCCCATGGACTCTTCCTTTTCTTTAAGGACGGAGGGCTTCATATGCTGCTGTCTTGTCGGCTTTTCTTATTGTTACATCTTTCAGTATACTGTATAGCAACATGGAAATAAACGTTGCTATAAGAAGACACCTGGACCGATGGTATAATCCTGACCCTAGAACATAAACCACAATACCTCCAATAAAATTATAGTACAAATCAACCATGGTTGATACCTGGTTGATGGGGTTCTGGGAGTTCTACTTCCCAAGCCCGGCCCGAGGCCAGGCTTGAGTTGTGAGAGTTTGGTCCACTAGGCTGTTGCTTGGAGCGGCCCGCAGGCCCACATACCCACCACAGCCCAATTGGTCCAGCACTCCTTGGAGGAATAAATCTAGTTTCCTCTTGAAGATGTCCACGGTTGTTCCAGCAATATTTCTTATGCTCGCTGGGAGCACATGCACAGTGAACATAAAAAAGAGGAAAGAATAATGAAAGAAATAATCTGTAAAGGAGTAAAAAGCATTACTCCTAACCAAAACATAGACCTGATCATATTCTACAAAACCAAGAAGACTTCCGAACTCCTTATTAAAAACAGCCCGAAGCCGACGGAGAACCCTCTACAGCAGTCAAGCGTTGTATACATGTACACTTGCCCCCACGAAGGATGTAACCTTCAATCTAAGTACATAGGTATGACGTCGACTAAGCTGACGAGGCGTTTGACCTGTCATCTTCAATCCGGTGCCCCCAGGAATCACATGAGACAAGCCCATGACATCACCCTAATAAGAGAAATGTTGAACAAAAATACCTGTACAGTATAATAGACAAAACCCAAGATGTAAGAACATTACAAATTCTTGAAGCAATTCACCTAAGAATAGAACAGCCTACTATGAACACCCAAATCACGGAACTATTTACCCACCATGAGAGTAAGGACAAGACCGGAATATAACGATGCCAACACAGAAGACACTGCTCAACATAACAGGCCTATTACACCTAATTAATCTTTGTATGTGCTTCATCCCCCCATTTATCCCCCTTGTCTTTTCCTTTAATGTACTTGTTTATCACCTGACCCCGTACTGGCATAAATTAACGAGTTCTGTAATTTCTTTTCACTTGAGAATGAACCATGGAGGTTCAAAACGTTGTGCGATTTTGTAATTAGTGTAATATATTCTTCAGTTATTCAATTCTTTTCTTCACCTAAAAACAACATAACTTTTGGTGAACTCCTCTTCCAGCTGAACCCTGATGCAAGAGCACTAGTAAGAGGGATAGAAGCCCTAAATCAGAAAATAGTAAATATGGAATATGTTGTCATATTCAATGAGACATACAGTGTGTTACTGTATAAATGGTGTGTGAAAGTGTACATATTGTAAATATATTGAATAGGTAATATTGTGCCAATGAACATTTGTTATGGACACATTACTAACACATGTATCACAGTTCCATGGAATATTATGAATGTTCTACTGTATACATATAGTAAAGGACACAAATGTGCATCATATACGATAAAAACTAATTATAAAGCCCGTCAACACGGGCTCATCACGGGGTGAAGAGCCCGGGATGACGTCACGCACCACTTTGTCCACATCCCCACAGCCAATGTGGAATTTGTTATTTTTTTTACATCTACATGTTCAGGGAAGGGAATTTAACATTTTACAAAGAAAAAACAAATTTGCAAACACTTGATTTTCGGCGCACAGCCAGAATGTCACAATAAACGCAGCGCATCACAGAGGTTAACGTTGAGGACTATAGTTAATGGGCAATGCAAGATCCCTGCAGCTTCCTTCAGTAACTATGGTGATATCTAATCTGTGTGTGCTGCTCACTTGTGGAGGGAAGAGGGGCATGAACTGAGCAGCCTGATTAGAAAATATATTATTTGACAAGGGATGCAGATACCTATATACTATATTATATGTATAACCTTGATAAAAAAAAATTTAAATTAATTTGTAGTTACTGAGATTACCCATAGGATGATAGCCAATTGACAGCAGTCATTCAAGCATTCATTATTATCCATTTGCTTGTGTGCAAAACAAAAGTAAACCCTAGTATCACTAACCTCCATGTGTATACATCTTAGAACCATTTTCATTGAAAGCTGCTGCTTTAATTTCCTGAGGAGCATGCAGGGTTTCAACATGGGAGAGAGCAGTGGTATCATAAACATGCAGCAGTCCCTTACTTCCTAGGAATACAAGCAGCTTTCCATCAGGGGACACAACAAACTTCTGAAACACACACATGTACAAACATTAATACACTATTAATAGCTAAAATACATAAAGAATTTATTGCAAAGTACAATACATTTCTTTAAGATAAGAATGAGCATAACTGAATGATGGAGAAGTATTTTTGGAATCCTAATGTTATAGCCAATTTTAATAATAAACAGATTAATTGGGAGCTAACAAACCAAGTCCTCATAGAAATAAGCTGGGAAGAACAGCTACAAAATGAAAATCTAAATCAATGTCTCAAAAAAATCAGCTCAGTAGCTCTACAAGTATGTTCAACCTACACACCTCTTAAGAAAAAGACCAGCATTGAACATAATGAAATGCCAATTTCTGGGTGAGACCCGTGGCTCCCTGAACCTGGCTATAAACTGTGGTGGTTCCCATCTACCAGGTTGCATCAATCGTGCACTTCTTTAGGACTATCAGGGGACCTGTGCCTGACCCTGGCTATAAACTGTGGTGGTTCCCATCTACCAGGTTGCATCAATCGTGCACTTCTTTAGGACTATCAGGGGACCTGTGCCTGACCCTGGCTATAAACTGTGGTGGTTCCCATCTACCAGGTTGCATCAATCGTGCACTTCTTTAGGACTATCAGGGGACCTGTGCCTGACCCTGGCTATAAACTGTGGTGGTTCCCATCTACCAGGTTGCATCAATCGTGCACTTCTTTAGGACTATCAGGGGACCTGTGCCTGACCCTGGCTATAAACTGTGGTGGTTCCCATCTACCAGGTTGCATCAATCGTGCACTTCTTTAGGACTATCAGGGGACCTGTGCCTGACCCTGGCTATAAACTGTGGTGGTTCCCATCTACCAGGTTGCATCAATCGTGCACTTCTTTAGGACTATCAGGGGACCTGTGCCTGACCCTGGCTATAAACTGTGGTGGTTCCCATCTACCAGGTTGCATCAATCGTGCACTTCTTTAGGACTATCAGGGGACCTGTGCCTGACCCTGGCTATAAACTGTGGTGGTTCCCATCTACCAGGTTGCATCAATCGTGCACTTCTTTAGGACTATCAGGGGACCTGTGCCTGACCCTGGCTATAAACTGTGGTGGTTCCCATCTACCAGGTTGCATCAATCGTGCACTTCTTTAGGACTATCAGGGGACCTGTGCCTGACCCTGGCTATAAACTGTGGTGGTTCCCATCTACCAGGTTGCATCAATCGTGCACTTCTTTAGGACTATCAGGGGACCTGTGCCTGACCCTGGCTATAAACTGTGGTGGTTCCCATCTACCAGGTTGCATCAATCGTGCACTTCTTTAGGACTATCAGGGGACCTGTGCCTGACCCTGGCTATAAACTGTGGTGGTTCCCATCTACCAGGTTGCATCAATCGTGCACTTCTTTAGGACTATCAGGGGACCTGTGCCTGACCCTGGCTATAAACTGTGGTGGTTCCCATCTACCAGGTTGCATCAATCGTGCACTTCTTTAGGACTATCAGGGGACCTGTGCCTGACCCTGGCTATAAACTGTGGTGGTTCCCATCTACCAGGTTGCATCAATCGTGCACTTCTTTAGGACTATCAGGGGACCTGTGCCTGACCCTGGCTATAAACTGTGGTGGTTCCCATCTACCAGGTTGCATCAATCGTGCACTTCTTTAGGACTATCAGGGGACCTGTGCCTGACCCTGGCTATAAACTGTGGTGGTTCCCATCTACCAGGTTGCATCAATCGTGCACTTCTTTAGGACTATCAGGGGACCTGTGCCTGACCCTGGCTATAAACTGTGGTGGTTCCCATCTACCAGGTTGCATCAATCGTGCACTTCTTTAGGACTATCAGGGGACCTGTGCCTGACCCTGGCTATAAACTGTGGTGGTTCCCATCTACCAGGTTGCATCAATCGTGCACTTCTTTAGGACTATCAGGGGACCTGTGCCTGACCCTGGCCCCTTTACACAGGTACAGGGAGAAATTACCAGTACAATTCACCACCTCACTGGGGAAGACAACCAGAAATTCAGTGAGTCAACACAAACCACTGCTGCTCTCAATAGAGATCAAAGCCTTGAAACCTGCCTAATGAACTCCCCAACTAAGTAAACAAATGACTGAATTATCTCGAAACTAGCGAGAGCTCGTTTGCCATACCTCTCTTATTCATTTTCGGGAAGGGCGAGAAACAGTGGCTCACTGCCTGCCAGGGACTAAGATGTCAGTTCTGGAGCAGGTGAAAACACCCACCCGATGACATGGAAGGTGGGGGCAGGGAGCCACAAGGGATCACCCAAAAATTGGCGTTTAATTTTATTGAACGCTGGTTTTCTTGGGAAAGCCCCTGTGGCTCCCTGAAGCTAATTACCCATGAAGGAAGAACACACGGAAACTTACCAGGGAGGAGGAAAAACTGCAGGAGTCAGGATGAAGAAGTGACCCCCAGTTGAGAGATGTGACCCAAGATCACACAAGAGCGCCGAGGCCCGGGAACATTCACTAAATACTGAGCTACCAGTATCCTGTTTGACCTCCAAAACCTTTGTGCCCCAAAATCAGCTCAGGACATATTAGCAAATACAGCCATGAGAGCAGCATATTTCTGAATATCATGGGCACAAGGGTAGACCACAGGCTAGCTAGGTGACCTGAGAAACACAAGCCTTGAACAAGGAATCAAGGAAACAGGATCAACCCAAAGCATCCACCAAAGCATAATTGGTGGCACAAAGGAAGCGTTGGAGAGCCACCACCGGACATCAACACATGATGCACCCAAGGCTGAACCAACCACACATCAATAACCAAAGGACCCCTCAGGAAGCCAACAGACTCATTCTTCACCAGAAAAGGAGCCAGTTGCAAACTAATATAATGCTCACCAGGGCCAACAGAACAGAACCCTCAACTCTGGAGGAGAGCATGAAGTTCCCAGCCCAGTAACCAATACCACGAGACACCAAAAACAAAGCCTAGGAGATTGAATCACGGTCCGAAGGGAGACACTGTAAAACAAGAAGAGGAAAGAAAGGGGGAGATTATGGTCCTAACCATATCATCCTTGTCTAGTACAATTTCCAGAACATCTCAGTCCTGTGGAGAACAACAGATTTGCTGTCCAGTTCATACAGTACTTGCAAACACCGTAACATAAGTTTAACAAACCTGCAAACAAATTCCATCCATTATAACAGAAACTTACATTCCAAAGATTACGACAATTAAGCTACAGACCTTCATGCATTGTCTATCTTCTCTCTTGCTACAATGTATCTTAATTTCTTTGGCTGCTTCCATGTCATAAACATAGAAATGGCCATACATATTGGATCCAAGAACAAATTTTTTGCCATCCTGCATGAACTTTGCACACTTGATTGGAAATTTTGGAAACTTAACTGACTGAATCTTGAAATTATGCACACCATCAACCTGTGGAGAGAATTATAGTTTAATATAACAAAAATCCCTTTTTAGGGCTGCCCGAGTAACTCCGCAAGCTTAGCTCCTCTTGCCTCATGGTGCATCAGATTCTGGTCCTGGCTTCCAGTAGGCAAGGATGGACATCAGAAACCTGGTGCAATTAGTTGAAACTTAGAGGTACCACAACTAAGCTTGAGAAGCTACTAGACTGTCTTTCCCAGGAATTGTTTATGAATGTGTATTATCTCAGAAACTGCATCATATTAAACAAATTGATTTATATTTTTCTTTATTTTTTAAGTTATATGCTTGTTTCTTACCTGAAAAAGTGTGGCAGCTCCTAAGTCATTGTTTGAAAAGCCAGCAACGAGCCCCACCTGGAAGTGTGGGTTAAACTCCGCTGCCTTTATCACTGTGCCCTCAGACCGGGACGCATGGTTCACACTGTGAACCTTCTTGTACTCTAGCCATTTTTTATTTAGGTTGACCGAAGAAGCTTCTGATAAGTAATTTCCGGTGCTCTGAAGAACACAAACATATAATAATTTACTATGCACAAAAATATCAACACAGGACACTACAAAACTCAATAATACATTTTTATCAAACAAAATTCATTACCATTTCTTTTGTTAGAGTGAGAGTGTCTGGAGGCAATAATGGTTTTAGTCAACAGTCAACCCTGACATTGAATCAATGGCAACTTTACTGTACTTAATAAACCCGACAATAGCTAATGTTATCCATCCTATTATTTATCCCTAATATAAATCAGAATAAAACATTAAAGCCCACTAAACTTACACGGGCCATCTCATCTTCATCATCCGAGTCACCTTTCCTGCTACGGTCAAGGACAGCCCATTCAGGTGTATTACCAACAACTTGACTGAATTTTTCTCTCAGTTTCATCTCGTATATCTCATTTGAGACCTCTCTGATACCTCTCTTGCCTGGAACTTTTGTCATACTGCTCACAACATCTTTAACTCTGTTGGGAAATATAATTAATTATAACATATTTTCTAGACTATTTTTACATATTTCCTAATAAATAAAAATTAAGTGTACAATGTAGTGAATGCCTTTTCCCGAGTAGCCTCCGTAACCTCACAGTGCACTGGTCAAAGTTAACACTAGATATGATTAGAAAACACGAATTACTTGGTTCTGCACGAAACACAAACTGACACCAGCATTGCTTGACCATGAGGCGATGCGACTTATATGATCAGGACATGTGCATGGCTGATTAAACAATCTACATTTTACATAACAACTAAGCTGTAATCTGTTTTAAAATTAACCATCAGTAGATTAACAAATACAGTAGCAGCAAATTTCTACCAATCGATTAATTTTAATTTGGTAGGCTATATGATTAAATAATCCAAAGAAAATGCAGAATAGGACCAGTGAAGAGCAGGGGTGCCATAGGTACAATCAGAGAACACTGTATAAACATCAGAGGTCCATGGTTGTCCAACATCCTCGCAGCGAGTATAAGAAATATTGCCAGAACTACCGTGGGCATCAAGAGAAAACTTGATAGTAGACATAATAGAGGAAAAATAAATTGGTTAGAAAGGCAGGTACAAGAGCTAATATCTCAATTCTGCAGATACAAATAGTAAATACTGTACAGTAAATACACACACACACAAGCTGCTAAAGTTCAACCCAGGAAAGTGTAAAATAATGAAATTAGGCAAAGGGAGCAGAAGGCTGAACACAAGGTTTCTGGGAGGTGAAATCCTGCAAGAGTTAAATAGAGAGAAAGATCTGGGGGTCGATATCACACCGAACCTGTCCCCATAGGCCCACATCAAAAGGATATCATCAGCGGCATATGCTAGACTGGCCAATATAAGAACTGCCTTTAGAAACTTGTGCAAGGAATCGTTCAGGACCCTGTATACCACTTATGTAAGACCAATCCTGGAGTTTGCAGCTCCAGCCTGGATTCCATACCTAGTTAAACACAAGACAAAGTTAGAGAAGATTCAGAGGTATGCCACCAGACTGGTCCCGGAACTGAGAGGAATGAGTTACGAGGAAAGGCTAAGGGAGCTGAACCTCACAACCCTGGAAAACAGAAGAGTAAGGGGAGACATGATAACCACCAACAAAATTCTCAGGGGAATTGACAGGGTGGACAAAGACAAACTCTTCAGCACGGGTGGGACACGAACAAGGGGACACAGGTGGAAACTTAGTACCTAGATGAGCCACAGAGACGTTAGAAAGAATTTTTTCAGTGTCAGGGTAGTTAACAAATGGAATGCATTAAGTAGTGTTGTGGTGGAGGCAGACTCCATACACAGTTTCAAATATAGATATGATAGAGCCCAATAGGCTCAGGAATCTGTACACCAGTTGATTGACAGTTGAGAGGCGGGACCAAAGAGCCAGAGCTCAACCCCCGCAAACACAACTAGGTGAGAAGAGAAGCAGAGAAAAAATATGAAAATGATATAGCAAACAAAGCTGCTCCATAGTCACATGAGGAGGGAAACAACAGTGAAAGAACAGATGATGAAACTTAGAACAGGCGAGGACAGGTATACAGAGAATGACAAAGAGGTGTGTGAAGAACTCAACAAGAGGTTCCAGGAGGTCTTCACAATAGAACAAGGTGAGGTCACTGTGCTAGGAGAAGGGGAAGTAAACTTGGCGGGCCTTGGAAGGGTTCGAAATTACGAGTGAGGAGGTCAAGAGACACCTGCTGGATCTGGATGTTAGAAAGGCTGTTGGTCCAGACGGGATCTCACCATGGGTACTGAAAGAGTGTGCAGAGGCACTTTGCTTGCCACTCTCCACAGTGTATAGTAGGTCACTGGAGATGGGAGACCTACCAGAAATATGGAAGACGGCAAATGTGGTCCCAATATACAAAAAGGGCAAGAGGCACTGAACTACAGGCCAGTGTCCTTAACTTGTATACCATGCAAGGTGATGGAGAAGATCGTGAGAAAAAACCTAGTAACACATCTGGAGAGAAGGGACTTCGTGACAAATCGCCAACATGGATTCAGGGAGGGTAAATCTTGCCTGACTGGCTTAATGGAATTTTACGACCAGGTGACAAAGATTAAGCAAGAAAGAGAAGGCTGGGCGGACCGCATTTTCTTGGATTGTCAGAAAGCTTTTGATACAGTACCACATAAGAGGCTGGTACATAAGCTGGAGAAACAGGCAGATGTAGCTGGTAAGGTGCTCCAGTGGATAAGGGAGTACCTAAGCAATAGGAAGCAGAGTTACTGTGAGGGGTGAGACCTCAGAATGATGTGAAGTCACCAGTGGAGTCCCACAGGGATCTGTACTCGGTCCTATCTTGTTTCTGATATATGTAAATGATCTCCCGGAGGGTATAGATTCATTTCATTCAATGTTTGCTGACGATGCCAAAATTATGAGAAGGATTAAGACAGAGGAGAACTGCTTGAGGCTTCAAAAAGACCTAGACAAGCTGAAGGAATGGTCGAACAAATGGTTGTTAGAGTTTAATCCAAGCAAATGTAATGTAATGAAGATAGGCGTAGGGAGCAGGAGGCCAGATACTAGATATCATCTGGGAGATGAAATTCTTTAAGAGTCAGAGAGAGAAAAAGACTTGGGGTTGACATCACACCAGACCTGTCCCCTGCAGCCCATAACAAGAGGATAACATCAGCGGCATATGCCAGGCTGGCCAACATAAGAACGGCATTCAGAAACTTGTGTAAAGAATCATTCAGAACTTTGTATACCACAAATGTCAGGCCAGTCCTGGAGTATGCAGCCCCAGCATGGAGTCCATATCTAGTCAAGGATAAGACCAAACTGGAAAAGGTTCAAAGGTTTGCCTTGAGACTAGTACCCGAGCTGAAAGGTATGAGCTACGAGGAGAGGCTACGGGAATTAAACCTCACTTCGCTGGAAGACAGAAGAGTTGGGGGGGCAATGATCACCACATTCAAGATTCTCAAGGGAATTGATAGAGCAGATAAAGACATGCTATTTAACACAAGAGGTACACGCACTAGGGGGACACAGGTGGAAACTGAGTGTCCAAATGAGCCACAGAGATATTAGAAAGAACTTTTTTAGTGTCAGAGTGGTTGACAAATGGAATGCATTAGGAAGTGATGTGGTGGAGGCTGATTCCATACACAGTGTCAAGTGTAGATATGATAGAGCCCAATAGGCTCAGGAACCTGTACACCTGTTGATTGATGGTTGATAGGCGGGACCAAAGAGCCAGAGCTCAACCCCCGCAAGCATAATTAGGTGAGTACAATTAGGTGAGTACACACTCACTTACTCTCAGAAAATGTAATACAATATTACAAAAAGTTGATAACTTGCTTAAAAACTTCAAAAAATAAAACCACAATTTCAGATTCCATAAAAATTGTAGTGATGATATTTCTGAAACGGGGGCAATGATGCTGACCCCGACCTCCCTATGACAGTGGCATACCACCTCAAGCATCCAGCCTTCAGCCTTGTAGAGACAAACACACGGACAGACTTCCTCTTCTATATAGATAAAACACTATCAGTTACATTACCTTATCGTGTCATCATCTTCATCAACCCAAGCTGGCTTTTTACTATCTTTCACTACTGGTTGATGAACATCAAAGGGGTCATCGGGAATCATTTGAGATATTTCATCACGGCCTCTGGCAGCTGTAGAAGCTGGAGGAACATCCTGAAACAATGCTTCTTGGGAGACACTCTCTGGTAAATCTGCATCCTCTCCAAATAGATCTGTGGCCAATGATCTGGTATTTAAAGAAAAATGCTATTAGTGTTATCAATTAAATTTTCATTATAACTAAGTACTATAGTAAAGAAATATTTTATATACTAATTTTTTGTTAATACTAAGGAACAAAACAGCTCTGCAGTTTTGGGTTCCTTAGTTTTTAGGTTCTTACTTAAGTTTTTTGGATTTGTAAAACAAATTTTAATGTTGGGATTTATGCCTTGGGGCCAGGCACTAGGACCAGTTACGTTATTCAGTACATTATATTCTCCAGAACATGATTTACCAATAATTTTACAACCAGGTCCCAAATTACATATTGTTTGGTGCAAAGGTGCACACAAGTGGTGGCATGGTGCCTAAAACTGCAATCCGCGGCCTCTCATTTGTGGGGCAAGTATGCTGATCCCTGCACACACAGCATGCCTTATCACAACTCTGAATGCATGCTGCTTGTTTTACTGTAACCCCGCGATTATCCGGGATTCAAACATCCGGAAAACGCCCTTATACGGCCAAAATCGTGATCGGATAAAGTAATCACAATATCCGGCCAAAATGGCCACAGGAACCGGATAAAAGCTGGTTTGGCCGGATGAATATTCGGCCATACCGTATTAATCCCGTCTGGGGTTCTAGACGCATGGTGGAGGAGGGGGTGGGGTGAGTGGGTGGTGTTGGGATGGTGGGAGGGGTGCACCGGGAAGGACCACCTGGGTACAGGAATTACCATTAATTTTAGAACACTTAATCATAGCCAAAAACAAATGAAATAAGTACTAGTAATTATGTAATAACAAATAAATAAGTTTCCTAAAAGTAATGTGCACAGGCTGAAGTTTCCTTAAAAAATAGTGTGAGTTTTTTTTTTCCTCCTGGCGGCCTACGTAACGCGCTATAGCTGCCCCACCCCAAGTGGACCTGTCCAACACTGGTCAACCCATGTGCGTCCGTCCCTCGTGTTATACACAGTGCTGCGCCATTAGTGAAATATTTTTTTAAATAACTTTTTTATTTTCATAGTAACTTTGAACATTTTTGGCCAAGATTATGTCTGGTAGCAGCATCAATCATTCTGGAGGTGTTAAGACGAAGAAAGTTGTCCTAACAATTAAAGACAAGTTACTGTTATACATCTCAACCAGTGCCGCGTCACAGTGCTGCGTCATTAGTGAAATATTTTTTTAAATAACTTTTTTACTTTCATAGTAACTTTGAACATTTTTGGCCAAGACTATGTCTGGTAGCAGCATCAATCGTTCTGGAGGTGTTAAGAGGAAGAAAGTTGTCCTAGCAATTAAAGACAAGTTATGTGTTGTTCAACCAGTGAGGCGCCACAGGCAATGCCTTCAACAAGTGAGGCGCCACAGGCAAGCCAAGCGCCTTCAACAAGTAAGGCGCAAGCAAGTGCCTTTAACAAGTAAGGCGTCACAGGCAAGCCAAGCGCCTTCAACAAGTGAGGGCATGCAAGCGCTTCAACAAGTGAGGGCATGCAAGCGCCTTTAACAAGTGAGGCGCATGTAAGTGCCTTCAACAAGCGAGGCCTCACAGGCAACCCAAATGCCTTCAACCAGTGATTTTCTGGGGGGAGCCCCGTCGGCTCCCCGGAGCTTTACCGGCTGATATGCTAATGTCAGACTTTGGCATCAGTCATGTGTATGGAGTTCTAGGGCCTACCGGGGACCACGAGCCAGAACCTGGCCCCCTCAGAGAGGCAAGGGGAGCAATGGCCTATAGAAACCCCCGTGTGGTTGGAAGCATTCTATGTCTGCCATCGACCGGGTCAAGCATCCAGAAAGGTAAGCATTCCAAAACAAACCCCTATTCTGGTGAAAATTGCTACCTAAGCCGAACTAGTGAATAGAACTCTTCAACAGAAAACACGGAAACTAGTATGACGTCATACGTCACCGCGCCGCTGTCTGCGCAGCTCCCCCCTCCCCGGGAGGGGGAAGGGGGAGCCCCAGACCTCCCACGCCGGCTATCCACCCATCAGTTCTTCGGCTGATGCTATAGGCAATGGTTATGTGCTCCGGCTCCAGTGGTTGTTTCAGCACTGTACCTAGAGTGTGGTGTCTGTTTTCTAGGTGGTGCGTGAGCCGGGTGTGATTCTTCAGTACTCGGGCTGCATGCGCCTAGGGTTCCCTTCCCTAGGTGCCCTGTAAGTACTGCCCTTGGGGCTTGGGGCCACCTTCCACAAGTTCCTTGGGTCCTGCCCCTGCTTGGCCGTTTACCGCTTGGTTTTCGGCCGCTCTTTGTGTGCTCGGGTGTTCTGTCTCCCTTGTTCGCCTTAGAGTAAGGGGCAGTGTTTGCACTGGTGGGGCGCGGGGTACTGTGCAGCTTGTCTTTACCAATCATAGCGGCCGGCTCTGTTCCGCTTGGGTACGCTGTCCTCTTGCGGGGTTTTCTTTTTCTTTTGTTTATATACCTGGTGGGGGGGTCTGCCTTCGTTCTTGCCCCTTGTGTCCCTTGTGTTCTGAGTATTTCTGGTGGTACCCCCTGCTAGGTCCCCGTGAGTGTACACGTCCCGGGGGTTCAGCTCTTAGAAAGTTGTTTGGTAGCTTGGGTGCCGGTTAGCAGTACCCTGCCTGGGATTACCTGAGCGCGAGTCCTCTTAAAGTAAACGCTCGGGACCCTGGGAAACCCCTGGGGGCGCGCGGGTCCGATGGATGTGACCCCAGAGCCCCCCCCTCGCTTCCAGCGAGTTTGAGGGTTGCTCTCACCTTTTGTCTCTGGGTGACTCTCTGTTTTGCCTCCGTCTGCTGCCTGTGGGGTCGGTGACACCTTCGACCCGGTGTCCTGCGAGTTTGGTTGCTCGTTGTGGCTCGGTTACCCAGTTGTGCTAACAAAGCGGGTGCGGGCAGCAGGGGCGTTGCACTTGAGCCTTGGTGGTGGCAACGTTCTCGTGGTTTCCTCCCCGGGAGCCCCGGGGCTGCCCCGTTGTATTTCGTTTTTCCCCTGGTTCACCCTTCCTGCCTGCATCCGGTTCCTTACCGTCTGTAGGTTCAGGGCGGGGTGTTTGGTGGTGTTGAGACTCGGGCAGTCTCGGGGAATTCCCCTTCCGGGGTAGTGACGGGGGCATTTGGGCCTGTTCCTCCAGCCGTGTTGTATGAGTCTGCCAGTGGGCTCCCTTCCTTAGTGTTTTCACGGCTGCCCCGGTTTTCTGGTACGGCCGGGGCTTTGGGGGAACGGCTCGGCCCCGGGGCCTGTCGTGTAGGTTCCCGGGGCTGGGGAGGGGCTGACTTGGGGGGCCTTGGCCCCGTTAGACCCCGTGGGGGGTTTTATCCCCCTCTAGGCGGGGCTTGTGGTTACGCGGAGTGGGGTTTTTCCTCCCCACTCGCCGTACGTGCTGTTGGACGTCGGCCCCTCCCCGGGCTCGGTTCCTTGGCCTTTGAGTCGGTTGGTTCCGTCCTGTGGGTGGATGTTTCCTCCCCCGCTTTTTGGGACGGTGTTTTTGTCATGTTTCCCCGTTCGATGGGGTTCTGCGTGACTTTTGATCTCGGGTGCGCCTGCGCCTTCGTGTGCCTTCGGGACTAGTGTTGGCTTCTGTGTTCTCGAGGGTACGGGAAGGTTTTTCGCTACTTCCCGCATTATTGGAACGTCTGTCGGCTCCTAGTACTTGTCGCCCTGTTGGGCTACTTGTCGCCCTGTTGGGCTACTTGTCGCCCTGTTGGGCTACTTGTCGCCCTGTTGGGCTACTTGTCGCCCGGTTGGGCTACTTGTCGCCCGCCCGTTTGGGCTACTTGTCGCCCGTTTGGGTTCCCTTTTTTTGGGCTCTTTGCTTCTTTGGCCGGTTTTCTTGTTCCTGCTTCCTCTTTTGGCTCTTTTTCTCGTGCAATAGTCCTGGCTGGCGCCTTCCCGCAGGGAGGGTGTGCGGTTCGGCCAGCGTGTTATGCGCATGCGCCGTGGAGTTTGTTTTGGTCTGGGCGATGGTTCAGTGCTGGGGTTTTGCGCCCTTTTTTGCTACAGTGCTTCGCCTCTCGTTCTTCTCCCTGGCTGCGGTATGTGCCCCTTTGCGCCAGGGGTGTCCTGGTTCCCAGTTGTGGGGAGGACACCGCGGTTTTCTGTGTCATGGGTGTGGACCGCCTCCTTCGCCTCTCCCTGTTCTCCTGCGGGTCCGGCTCTGGCGTCTTCACCTGGCGGTGCTCCCAAGTTCTTCTGGGCACGGTTGAGTCGTGTCAAGTTCGAGCCACCATTCGCCAGGTGAGTTTCTGCGGTCTGGCGTCTTTTGGCCGGGCGCTGGATGCGGCGGTGTTCATATACCTGTCTTTATTTAGGTATAATTTTGTACGACTGAGACCGTTCGCACACCAGTGACTGTCCCTTTATCACCCCTTCCTGTCCCCCTCCTGTGCATGTCCAACCCATGCTACAGTCGTTCAGGGGACCCTCCTTTTTTAATGTTGTGAGGTGTGGGGGTTGTAGGGTTGGTTCTGTACTCACCTGGTGAGGCTCCTGGCTGTGCTTGCAGGATTTGAGCTCTGGCTCTTGGGTCCCGCCTATCTGGTAGAACTTGCGGGATAGTACCAGTGGAGTGCAGTGGTGCTATTGGCACTTTTGGGGAACACTGTATTACCATCAGTGGTCTGTGCTTGTTACACGACCTACTTGCGAGCATAAGCCTTCTTGCTGGTTCGTCCGTGGACTTCCAGGGCGCACTGGCCTGTTTTCGTATGGCAGTTCCGGCCCGTCCTGGTTGTGGGGGTATGTGGGCCGGTGGACTGCTCCTAGCAGCTGCCTGGTGGGCCATCCTCTGGCCGGTCTGGCCTGACCTTGGGCCGGGCTTGAGGTGTAAAAGAGCTCCCAGTACCTCATCCAGCAGGTATCGAGCGGGGTTTCTCCGCCGTCGGTCGCCTGGTGCAGGTTTCTGGGCCTGCAGGGTTTTGTCGTGTCTCCGTTGGCCCTGTCTGGGGTCTGCCTGCTCCGTTCTCTGCCTTTGCAGAGGGGAGTTGCTATTTACATGTTGCATGTTGCAGTGGTGCCTGTTGCTGCTGCTGCTGCACGTGAGCATTGGTA